GTACCTCTCTTCCACATTACAGTCTTTCTGAAGAACTTCCAGCAGCTATGAAATTCCTCCAGCCATCAATTACTGGTTAAGTAATTTGTTCCTGCTTAGATCTGAAACCTCATCATTGCACTTCCATTGAATTTCAGCCTTCTACTTCTACTGAAGATACTTTCTTTATGGGTGCTTACTTAGGCAGGAAAGCGATTCCACAGATTTCATAATCCTTTTCATGACTGTCTAATAAGACCAGGTGCTACAGAAAGTTTGTCTCAGAATCATCTGTGAGGAGTTCTTAAATTTCCACCACAGCATAGCATGATGCTTAGCTGCCCCTCAGACTGGGGTCAGTGTTTGAAGTACTGGAGAAGAAAGAATTGAACTATATTAACTTTTTTTTTTTTTTTGATGTGTTGATGTGTAAGGGAAGGTCAAACCCTGCTGCTGTGGTACGGAGCCATGAGGAAGCACAGGGCTGCTGCATTTCCTGGGTGATACACTTCCATGCATTTGGAGTGGCACCTATACTAAGACTTCAGGAACAACAATTGCTAGCAGAGGTTTTTTTTGCAAACGACAACAACAAGAAACAAATTATGTGTAAAGTAAACCCTGTTCATCAGAAGATTTTCTGTTTCCTTTTGATATTTGCACTTATGTGGAAAGAGAATGTCTGAGATTAAAGACTCCTCTTTCAGCTTGGTTATGTGTTCATTGAGCAACCTGTTCCTTTTCTTTAGAGAGACTACGGAAGCCCGTGAAGTTACAAGAAAAGCAGCTCCTCGTAATTCAATAGAAAGTGAAGAGTATGTTAAAGACATTATAGGTTTATTGAATGCAAAAGACTTCCGTGATCGAATAAATGGAATTAATCAGCTGTTATCAGATACAGAGAACAATCAAGACTTCGTTGTTGCAAACATTGTGAAGGTAACTGTACAAAAACCTTTCATTTCAAAGGTTTTTAAAGTTCTGTCACAGTTTTCTGCTAAAAATTATGGTTTCCTCTTTCAATCAGAATATCTGATGAACAGGAAAACCTCGAGGAAAGGGTCAGGCATGCTTAAAGATGAGATATGCAGTAACCATATCTCAGAGCTACAAAGGTAGTAAAGGAAGAAAATAGGAAGAAGGTGAAAGAGATTCATTAGAGATAGCGCACATGGAGGTATTTTCTGCATATTGTGTGCAGTTTTTCATGCCTCTGTGGAGGAAATATCAAAATACTGGAACAGGTTACAAAGAGAGCAGGATCCCAAGATCTGAGAAACTGTAACCGAATCACAGACAGTTGCAAGTTCTGTCTGCTTCATGTATCCAGAAGGTGGGGAAGGGTCTTTAATGAGTTACAACAGTTTAAACTAAATATCTGTAAAAAGAGCCTGTCTTTTAAGAGGTTCTTTCAGAGAAAAATACTAGGGTGAGGTCCAACAGTTGTAAATTAAGGATAGGCAGAATGAAAGTGAAAACAAGATTGTCTCTTAACAATGCAGTTTTGTATGAATACGAAATACTGCTGTGAAACTTTGCAGTATTTTAACTGCGAATGTTACTGAAATCTTGAAGATCAAATTCCTTTTGATAAGAGGTGAAGTTTAAAACTGTGAGCTTGATCTAGCAATTAACAGGAGATAGACACAGCATGAACAAATTTTAGGAGGTTCAGACTAGATCTTCTGTGTGAAGGATACCAATTCCTAATGCCTCTGAAGGGGAAAAAACAAACACACTTTAGCATGTTATTGCATATGTTGTGGTAACACTTAGGGTTAATAATATAGAGTTTATATAATAATTATGATAACTGTCACTGCGTGCTATAGAAGACAGAAATTAAACATATTTCAAAGATACTACTGGGCATTCTTTTTGCTAAATAGAACTATGTCTTGTTAAAAATACTTGCTTGCACAAAATATCAGTCACACTGAAAGTTACAGATAGTGAGTATGCCTCTTACATTGCACAGAAACGACTGAAGTACAGGGAACATTGGATACACTTCAGTCGTACACAATATAAAAATAGTGAGTGCTGGCTTACTTGCTCAAAAAATAACCCCAAGTATTTGCATATCAGAGCCATCTTTTGCTAAGATGGACAACTGAAGTGTAACAAAAAAGCAGGAAACGTAATATCCACCTCAAGTATTAATTAATTCAGACTACCATTGTTTGGATGCTTTTTCAGATCTTTGATGCTTTCAAGCCTCGCTTACATGACTCAAACAGTAAAGTAAATCAGGTTGCTTTGGAGACAATGTACAAGATGATTCCACTGCTGAAAGACAATTTATCTCCGGTGATCAACATGTTGGTTCCTGCAATGGTAGACAACAACCTAAACTCCAAAAATCCAGGGATTTATGCAGCTGCCACAAATGTTATTCAGGCTCTATGTCAACACTTAGGTAATTTCCTCCCTCTTAATTTTGAAGAGTTTTAATTGCATTAATTACATTTTTAATTTAAAGAGTTGTTCTTTCCAATAATTTTCATCAAATCGTTACATTGTGTAATGCATCATTGGTTTTATTCTCACACATTTTAAAGCACACAAGTCATCTTCATATTTCAAGAGAAATGCAGCTAGCTGGACTTGTCTCAAGTGTATAGGTGGGTTTGTTATATTTGCATAGCAGATGTCTCGTCATCCAGAAGCGTGTCAGACTGCTGAATCTCTTGAGCAGGTCAAAGGACTAGACTCTCAGAGATGTGTGTATGCCACAGCTATTTTCCATCTTCATCTCTTTTGTTAGTACTTTCAGTAAATGAAAATGCTATGTTTTACCAGACTAGGAGGAGCTAGGGCTTGTTAAGAGTATCTTTTAGGCTTTTATCCCCTTAAATAATATGTTGTGATTTTTGTAGTTAATACATCACAAGTAAGGTTCTTATTTGCATTTTTCTATATTGTATTAACTTCCAGTGTATTTAATTTTCTGTTTCCAATTCTTAATGTGTTTTGTTCTTTGAATTTAGACAACTATTTGCTTCTCCAGCCATTCTGCACAAAAGCCCAGTTTCTGCATGGAAAAGCAAAACAAGACATCACAGAAAAGCTTGCTGGTAAGGTGAAGTTTTGCTCTGCATGTTTTCTTGTTTTTCTACCATCCTAATTATGCAAATCCATTGTAGGATGGTGGTGGCTGCATATCTGCCACAGTAGATTGTGAGTGTTAACAATGCAATAATTTTCAAATTTCACCCCCTTCTAATGCAAATTGAAGATATTACTGACAAAAGTAAAAGATTATATTTAGATACTTCCCCAGAAGAGGTGTAAACATCTTAGGCTTATCAAACCAAAGAGAAAAAGGGTTGTTTTGTGGTGAATTTAATTCTGTTGGAAACTGAGCAGCTTTAAATTAAATTGTGCTGTGAGTCGGGTCCCCTCATGTCTCCCTCTGCCCTGTGAGTGACCATTTGTGTCCAGGTAGAGCCAGGGGCCCAGGGCCTCCTTCGCTTACTTGCTGCAAGTCCTGTTCCCTCTCAGCGCTCACTCCCCTGTACTCCTGCCAGGAAGAGTGACTGCTTTTTTCTCTTCCCTAAGGCTGTCTCCTACCAGTTCCACAATTTTACTGCCGTGCCGTTTTACTTTTCATAGTTGGTTTTGTTTTCATTGCCCCAGGGGCTTGGTAATACTTCTTGGTGTTCAGTCGTAAAGGAGACAAGGTGCAAGCTGAGCTAGAGGCACCACAAAGATGGCAGACTTCGTGATGGTCTGCTTCCTTCTGACCTAAGCTGTCAGAAGTTTAAAGACAAATTTTTTAGAACGTATATACATAGTTTAATACTGGGGATTATTACTAGCAGTAGTGTTGTATTTCCCTTTGATGTTTTAAGTGAACAAGAGATGTCTTCATGGGAGATAAGCTTGAACTTGGCTTACTTTGAGAGTAGTTTGCTGTGTAATAGCCATAACATTGAACTAAACATTACAGTGGACAGTCTATTCTTGAAATGATCCTAAATGCATACTTTCAGAAAGTATTAATCACCAAACCTTTAAATTCTCTTGGTGGGATTTTTCTGAGTAGCTTGCATTACGTATATTGGAAGAGTTCACACACAATTTCTAGCACAAAGGCAAGTACTTGCCAATTAAATAGTCGATTCATGATGTAACTGTCCAAGCAGAGAAAATGCTTCATCGAATACACATATGTTTCTAGTGTGAGGTTACTTTGTTCCTTACATTCAAACACCTACTGGGTATTTCTGAGATGGAGGAGAACCGTAAAATACCAAATGCTGTGCGAGCGCATGGCGTGTTTATTTTTAGTAGAGAGTTAAACTCATCAACAGTTGTGTGAATTTTTGAGGGAAGATTAAAGAGGTGTTGGTAGGGAAAGCTGGCCCAGTGAGGGCCACTCGTTCTGCTGGAAAACGGACAGGTTTTTGTGCCAGCGGCTCTGAGGAGACTCTGCTGTGTCACTCGGTGCTTTTAAACCTCCCTCAGAGCAGGGGGGTCGCTTCTGAACTGTGTTTTACACCAATTTCCAGCGGCTGCTGACGCGCTGTTCCTGTCACACAGATCTGGTGGCCGAGCTGTACCCGCGGAAGCCGCAGGCCGTGGAGCAGAAGGTCCTGGCCGTGCTCTGGCACCTGCTGGGCACGGCGAGCAGCGGCGGCCCCGCACCGGGGACTGGGGGCAGCATCCGGGCGGCCACGGCCAAGCTGTCCCGGGCCCTGTTCGCGCAGATGGGGCCCGGGCTCCTGGCACGCGCCGCCGGGCAGCCCCCGCACGTCAGGAGGAGCCTGGAGGAGGTCCTGGAGCTGCCGGCATGACGGGACGGGACACGGACAGGGCACCAGGAGGGACAGGCGGAGCTGCCCGCGCAGGGCCTGCGGCTTTGGCTGGGCGCGGGGCGGGCGCTGTGGCAATAAAGGGCCCGTGGCGGACACAGCGCTGAGCGTGGCGCCCTGAGGGGACGGGGATGGGGGGGGGTGAGGGGGGAGCCGCCATTTGGCGGGCGGGAGGCGGCGCGCAGTGCGCAGGCGCGGGGCCGGAGGGAGCGGGGGCTCCGCGCGCAGGCGCCAGGCTTCCCGAAGCGCCGGCGCAGCGGCGGGCGCGGGCTCTAATGCGCAGGCGCGGGCCGCGCGCTCGTCCAGTGGCCGGCGGAGCGCGAGGAGGCCGCAGCGCGGGGGCACCGCGGGAGGTGCGGGACGGGGACGGGGACCAGGGGCTGGGACCGGGGGTGTGGGGACGGGGCCGGGAGCGTGGGGAGGGGGCGGGCAGCGCGGGCCTTGCGCCGCGGGGCTGGGCTAGGGCCGTACGGAGCGAGGCGGGCGGCACGGCCCGGCCTGGCCCTGCCCCGGCCGCGGCCCAGCGCCGTGAGGGCCGCGCGGTGCGGGGGGAGGGGGGGGCGGGGCCGTGTGCGGGGCCCGGCCCGGCCTGCGGGGGGCAGGCGGGGGCCTGCGGGTAGCGCCAGGCGCGGCTGCTGGCCCCGGCAGATGGCGGCGGTTCGGGGCCTGGCGCACGGGGCTGCTCCTGCGCTGCGTGCCCCGGCCTCTCCCGGGGTAGGCCCGCCGTTAGGGGGGGCACCGCCGTGCTGCCCTTCCCTCGGGGCGTTCCGGAAGGCGCTCGGTTGGAAGCAAACTGCTGGAGAGACCTGGAGGTTGTGCTTGAAACGCGGAGTGTGTGTGTGTTTGTGTCCCTTTTTTTTTTTTTTTTTTTTCCCCCCCCCTATTCCCGTTTTCCTTCTAATTCGAGGACGTAGCTGGAGCTGGGGGAGGTGTTTCTTGAGCTGGAACACATCACCCGAATCAGCCAGAAGTGGAGAATATCCATCACGTCTCAGAATAAGTTTAGGTCTTAAAACTCTTGTATGTGTAAGGACAGGTTTGCTAGCCTTCTCAGTTTTAGAACTACAAACAGAATCACCCAGGAAAACTGTATTGGCTTGCTTTTATACCTTGTTAGTTATTTGTTGTAGTTTTTTGGGAAAACCCACAAAGATTTGTGTGTGTATGTCAAAACATACGATGGGTACGAGCTTCTGTTTTAGCTGTGGATGAGACTCACGAGTGAAGCAGATGTGATGAAACACAGGAGCGCGTGAGGCACGTGGGAGACTCTTGAATGGTTGAGAATTAGGAAACTGCTCGAGTGTTACCTTCTGCAATCTAATGTAGGAATAATCCATTCACACTCATGTTCCTAGTTTAACTAGAAACTTGCCTCTGGTTGTTTAGGTAAAATCCCTATTTTTTTTTAATGTTTTAGGTTTTTCTGAATCTTCCACGCTCTTATATTAGAGCAAGAGAAGGATCAATATTAATTAGTGTTTTTAAAGTAACACAATGGGATACATCTTAATATCCTCAGCTCTTTATTTGTAGCTTAACCAATCTACTCTTTGCAGCCCTTAGAGAGGGTGGGCAGCTTTCTGATTTAAGTAATGGCTATTAGGAATAAAAGCTTCCCTCATCCCCTCCCTATAAGTAGGAACAGCTACAGCTCTCAAAGCCTTTTTCTGCTAGTGTTGCAGCTGAGTTAGTGACTGCATGGGCTGATATTTCACAGCCCAGTTCTACTTGGATCTTCACTGCTGGAACGTTGAATAGTTTTTATTTCCGTAGGATAGTACTGCAGGACACCTTTAACCTCAGCCATGGAGAACTCGGATAATACAGAAGAGGAGAAGACGACAACAACGACTGTAAGCAATGACAGCACAGGCAATGGCACCGAAACAGCAACAGAAGAACAGCATATGGACTTCAGTACAGAAATTATGAGTGTAACTGAGATGGAACAATCACCTGATAGTTCCCCTGATTTGAATGAAGAGAACGCACAAGAAGAGGGTGAAATTCCAAATATCGAAAGCTTACAGACGACAGATATTGAGGCTGGCTTTCCTCCAGATTTTGACAAGTTCTGGAAAGTAGTAGAGGACAATCACCAGGATTTCACAGGATGGGTATATCTACTGCAGTACGTAGAGCAAGAGGTTAGTCTGTGCCCCCTTTTTCCTTAGTCTTCCAGAAATAACGAAACAAAACCAAATTAGCTAACGTATTCCAGTAACAAACCTAGAACAGTCCATCAGGCCTTGATACGTACTGTTTTAAGACAGCAGTTATTCCAGTAAGGAATCTAGACCTGTGTGTCAGGCTTTCATACAGTTTCAAGACAGTCACTGTTATCGGTGTTGTCAGCAGAGATCACAAAACAAGAGCAACAATTTTTAAGGCAGTGTTAAAACAGTAATTGTTTTGAAAATGTTAATAATGTGAGGTTTTTTACACTTACAAGAACTTTGTTCCAGATTCTAAAGGTGAACCTGCCTGCTAGAACTTGTTCTTTACTAGAGATAACTCTCTGCAATTAGATTTTGGTAGTAAATAATCACCTATAATGCAAACAGAAAATTCTTGCTAGCTTTTTGAAAGCTAGGCACTTGGGCACATTCAGTATTACTAAAAACATGTTGATCCCACTTGAGTTTTGTATCACCCTTCTCAGCTTTTGGTGAGAATAAGCTCAATGTGACCTCCCATCTGTTGCTTTCATTTGATTCTTAACCACGTGCCCAAAAGCATGAATGGATTTTCGCACAACAGTAGGACTGACTTGTGGGACTTAACTGCAGGATACTTGAATACAGAAGTTTTGTTGCTTCTTGAGCCCATGTAAATTCATGAAAAACAAAAATTGCGCAGGGCTGTAACAGGAAAATGACTCTGTCTAAGGAAGTCTCCAAGCTGTGAACTTTGTGGCTAGGAAAAGGCTACTGAAGACACTTCATCGTTTTTGTCCTGTTTTTATGCTTCTCCTGATCTGTCTGTTAGATGGTGGAGATGCTGTACTGCACTGCATGGCTGTGTGCTCTGCCTGCAGCTGTCGTTCCTGGACAAGATGCCAGCTAGATGCTTGTTCTGATCCTCAGGCTGTATGTTGGAGATAACATATTACCTTTCACTGTGTGTTTCTTGCAGAACCACATACCGGCTGCCAGGAAAGCGTTTGACAAGTTTTTCACACATTATCCATATTGCTATGGATATTGGAAAAAGTATGCAGACCTCGAAAAGCGACACGACAACATTAAACAGTCCGATGAGGTACGTAGGTAGCTGGGCAAAGCAGTTGCCGTTGGTCCCGTTGGCCAAATAATGACTAACGCGCTGCAAGTCATTTGGCTGCCAGTACCTGCCACACGTGGTCAGGTCTGTAGGGATTTTGTTTGCACTTGTCACTTCTGTGGCATTTGTAGCTAATGTTTTCTCTCTTTGTTGGCAGGTGCGTTAAACCTCTACAGTTTGTCAAGCTTTGCAGTGCAAGCCTCTGTATTACACTGCAGCTTAACAAGTAGGGCAGGGCTTTTCTGTCACTTACATTTATTACTCATTTTCAAAGCGATATAGTTGGTTTGCTGGTCACAATTGCTACATCTTATTGCATTTTTGGTCAGACGCTGTCAATGATGCTCTAATGGGTCTGTGCCCTATGGTCTGTACCCCAAAGCCTGCCCACACAACCTGGTCAGAATGCAGGGACCGCTGCGCTTTGAAGATCAAGACTCTGCACGTGGAGATCAGAACATTGCCATGTTCTATCCAACCTCCACCCGAATGGTAATGGTAGATTATTTAAACAAAATTCCAGTACTTAGTATTTCTAAGGTTCACCGGACAACACAGTGTTGCCTCTCTCTTAGGACACCAGTGAGTATTTGAAGTACAGTTCATGTTCTCTTCATAGGTTTATCGCAGAGGGCTTCAGGCAATTCCTCTTAGTGTTGACCTTTGGATACATTATATAAACTTCTTAAAAGACACCTTGGACCCCGATGATCCTGAAACTAACAATACGATTCGAGGGTAAGTTGAAAGCAGCCTAAGTGGTACAAGAAGCACGTGCAGATAGTTACATAACTTAAACACCGTAATCCAGCTACACTAAGGGGCTACCTAATAACAACCTATTATAGGGAGTTCTAGGAGTTTATGGAGCTAAACGGAGTAGTGGTAGACATTACAACGTGGTACAAGTTGTGAACTTCAGACTGCACCTGAGAAATGCTTTGTGAAGCTCTAGAGTGGTATGCAGTGCTGGAACAGGTTCTCCATAGAAGATTTTTAATTTAATTTCTTGGTGATTCTAGAATATCTCAGCTCATCTGCTGGTAACGGTCCTGGTTGAGTAAACAGGATCTAAGTGCTAAAGACTGTGTGTTTTCTTAGTGTCTTGTATTTTGGCTTTTTTCTGTTAACTTTTTTTGCTCTGTTATAATAGTACTGGAGAAAACAGGGTAAGTGTGAACTCTGAATCTCTAGAGATCTTGTGACAGATATCTAGAAGATACTTTGAAGAATTTAAGTAATGAATTTGTGGGATTGCAAGTAAATGAGGACATCTAGAATCTCTAAGCAAAATCTCTAAATAAATAAAAACCAGAACTATTCGTTGCTCTGTCACCGCATCCAGAATCAACTGTAAATTACTTTTCAGAGCCTACGAACACGCGGTTTTAGCCGCTGGGACAGATTTTCCGTTCTGACAGACTATGGGAGATGTATATAAACTGGGAAAATGAGCAGGGAAACCTGAGGGAAGTTACATCCATATATGATCGTATCCTTGGAATTCCAACACAGCTCTACAGTCATCACTTCCAAAGGTAAAGAGAAAACAAAGGAGTAGCTAATGCCATGAATTTGTCAAGCGCATGCAAACCTATTTCTGTAAATGTGAAAATATTTATTAAGAGCAGCTTAAAATAGTTGCTTAGCTTTATGTATTTGTTTATTTACTCATGCTTTGACTAACTTTTAAGTACTGATACACATTTTCAGAATATGGTTTTACATTAAAACACAAATTCTGCTGTGGAATAAAGGAAGGCACTGGAAGTGTCAGTGAGAAGTGGGGATGTCTTTGAAAAAAAAAGCGGAAGAGCAATTTTTAAAACTTACTTCCTTGTGCAGTGCTTGTTTGTGGTTAAACATTAATTTTGTTGAAACCCAAATAGAAGTACTTGGATAAGTGTTAGGTAGCAGAATTCTGTGTTAGTACAGAGAGGTTAAGAGGGATCCGGAAGCTCTAGTTAAATTATACAGCAGTCTTCCTTGTAATTTTCGCAGACCTAAGTGCTCTGTTTTTACCACTGAATTTTCTTGTCCTTTAATTTCGCTTTCAAATGTAAAGCTTCTGAATATCTGAAAAATAGTGTGAGGTTTGTTTTGTGCACATGTTGTCACAAGTTGCATGCTCATTTTTGCTCTAGGTTGATAAAGTAATAAAGAATCCCAGTAGGGTTTATTGTGTTTTCTGGTTACGCAGAGTATTAAAACAGAAAACGTCAAATGTGTGTTGACTTGTTTCTAACTCTCTTAGGTTTAAAGACCATGTGCAAAACAATTTGCCACGAGAACTTCTAACTACGGAGCAGTTTATTCAGCTGCGCAGAGAACTGGCATCTGCGAATGGCCACAGTGGGGAGGATGTGTCACCTGGAGATGATCTGCCCTCTGGTACTGAAGATATAACTGACCCTGCCAAGGTACACTTGCAGAGAGAGTTTGTTGGATTCCTTGCCCTAATCTGTGGCTAAGAGAAGTATATATTTGCAGACAATCTAGTGTGTCTGTAGCAGATCTGTTCACATAGTTTTTTGCATATCACTGCTCTTTGTCTGTAGAGCATACGCTTCCAGCATTTTCATAGGTATCAAAGAAATGGAGTTCATCATCGTTAAGATGAGACCAAAACTTCACACAGAAAACAAATTCAATTGGGTTGCGCTAAGAGCCAAGGTATCATCGGGGCAACGCCCCCCTCCCTTCCCAAGCTGTTTCGTATAGCATTTAGTGCATCTGTGCTACTTTGCCTATATTACTGTTATCTTAAAGTGCACTGTGGTATCTACCTGTTACATTTTTTTTAACAATTGTGTTTTAGCTAATCACTGAAATAGAAAACATGAGGCACAGAATCATTGAGATTCATCAAGAAATGTTCAATCACAATGAACATGAAGTCAGTAAGAGGTGGACATTTGAGGAAGGGGTAAGTTCATTTCTTTTTTCTATGTGAGGCAGCATGTGTCAGTTTTGAACAAACTGGGAATTAAGAATTTTGATTAACAGTTAGGCAGGCCTTACAGTTTAAACTGTGGTGTTTTGAACAAAGATCTAGCTTTACTTCTGTGCCATTCTTCTTATCAAAAAGCAGCTTGTGAGGTCAACTCTGTCATCTGAGGATGTAACAGTCTTCAAACAGTATTTGGAGAGAGGCAAGATGGTGTAATGTTATTTTACTGAGTAGTCTTTAAATTTACATGTATGAAATGCTATGCCAATCAGTATGCACCTGGAGTATTACAAAATCACTGGAGTTGCTACCTTCCTCCCTTCTTTAATTGAAAAGGTAGGCATGTCCTAAAAGCAGAGTGATGTTTGTGTTTGCATGTGTATTTTTTGGTTGCACTCAAGTCTGAAATCAGTTAGTTTTGTTTGCCAGAAGTAGCCATCATAACCTGCAGCTTCCATATATAACATGTTAGAAGTAATTAAGCCAATCGTTTATTTATCAAAATACTTTCTATATAGAATTAAGCTTAATTACTTTTTAAAAGCAGCCTGAGTTTTTAATTCTCAGTTTGGCAAACATGTTATTGTATAACATTTTGTTCTTGTCTTAAATTTACATCACACTCTTTGAAAAGATGATATTGAACAGCTGGGACAGATCTCAGAGGTTCTTTAATAGTCTGCGCGATCTCAGACCTGTTCTTACATTACTCACCATGCTCTGTTAGAGTAGGCAAGGTACCTTATAAGCCAAAGGAACTCAAAAATACAGCACTGTAATCGTTCCTAGCACAAAGTCAGACTAAAGCGATCTCCCCTTTCTTGTTACACAACAGCCTAAAGTGCTGTTGTTACCAGTTCTGCGTGTTGCAGGAACACTTTTGTACGAGATACCTGTCCTAGAAGGAAGCAAAGGATACCAAACTTGTTCCTAGAGGAGGTGAGGGTCAAATATGCTGATGTGTCGTGTGAGTGTAGCTGTTATACTCACAGGATCAGGAAGCAGTAAGCTACAGATTATTGAAGGTTTGAAGAATGCTACAACTGCAGACATGCTGTAGAATAACATGTTTCTGATGGGTTTTCTATATTGCTCTTGGCCAGAATCTATACCTGCTCTACTAAAAGTATTTCTTCTCTATAGATAATAACATGTTGGGTCTATAAAGAGTGGAAAACAAAATTATGCAAGTCTTTACAAGGGACAGAAGTGAGGTCGATACACAGTTGATGTCAGGTAGCAGTGATGGAGGCCACTTAGACCTTCTTTACTATTACTTCAGTGGCACCAATGCATCTGTGAATTTATCAAGACAAGGACCTTACTGGATTCCATAGTAGAGCTCAGTAAGGAGTGTGGAGGGGATGATGGGCTTTAAGTTTTGTGTGGCCTTGAAGGATTGAATGTTTCTGCTTAATTATAAAATTTCTCTGGAGACTTGGATGGATGTCTCTGGGGTAGAAATGTACAGGAGAGAAATTATGAGGTGAAATTAAAACTGAAGAGAAGAAAAGCAAAAGATCTCTGGAAGGATGTTTTGCTACGTTGAGTTCAAAGCAGTGTTTAAATTTTCCCTTCTGAACTCTGTCCATCAGAACTCCTCTTGTCAGGAGTAAAAATGCAATCTTGCTAGCTACTAAATAATCAGCTTAATGTAAATATTTCATCTGAAGTTCAATCCAATGCTCTGTATTTCCTTGCCATGTTTCTCAACTAAATTTGGAACTTAATTTGTAGGATGTGCACTCAGTACAATGGTAAGTACTTTGTATATTTGTATGTGGACAATAATTGTTATTTATAATGTCCTTGTTATGTTGTAACAGTAGGTTTGCAAGGGAGTAATTGACTTGTTCTTCAAGTTCTTTGAACACTTGCATTCAAAAAGCTTTACAGGCAAACAAAGCATTGGTGTAATGTAACTGTCAGCAGTTGCCCAATCAAGTGGGATTATCCCACTTGACTGACTCGAATAGGTGATGAAGAAACACTCCGAAGTCCTGCTTATTTCAGTGGCATTACTTGAATGGCTTGGGGTTGTTTTCTAACCCATTTGGTTGTATGCTTGTTAGTCATACGTTGCCAACCTATCACTCTTGCAGATAAAGAGGCCTTACTTTCACGTAAAACCTCTGGAGAAAGCTCAGCTGAAAAACTGGAAAGAGTACTTAGAATTTGAGATAGAAAATGGAACTCATGAGCGAGTTGTGGTCCTCTTTGAAAGATGTGTTATTTCATGTGCCCTCTATGAGGACTTCTGGATTAAGGTAAGGGAAGTGGTTTACCACTGATCTCCTACCAACTGCATACATTGATCTAGTGACTAACCTTTTGTACTCTTGTTGAACGTTGTTCATATATAACTATATCTGTTGCATTAGGAGATGGTCTGCTTGCAACCAGATTTGACTGCTGCATATGCCAACTTCGTTGCCTCTCTACGTCCTTCCTTACAGAAACTAGTCTAGTGGTTCAATAAAGGTGCTGAATGGGTTTAAACAAGAATTTTATCGTTCTGTCAGGTATTTAAAGACAAATATAAGCTGTAATATTGTTCAATCTCTGCTCTGTTTTCAACTATAGTATGCCAAATACATGGAGAATCATAGTATTGAAGGAGTGAGGCATGTCTACAGCAGGGCTTGCACAATACATCTTCCCAAGAAACCGATGGTTCACATGCTGTGGGCTGCCTTTGAGGAACAGCAGGGTAAGAACAAGGTTTTTACTGGGAGGGATTCTGTTTTGAAGAAGCTGTTGAATGTATAATTTTAAGGCATTTTCACTGGTGTTTTAGGCAACATCGACGAAGCAAGAAGAATCTTGAAAACATTTGAAGAATGTATTCTAGGTCTAGCTATGGTTCGCTTGCGAAGAGTAAGCTTAGAGCGCAGACATGGAAACATGGAAGAAGCTGAACACCTGCTTGAAGAAGCCATTAGGAATGCCAAGTCAGTTAGTGAATCGTCATTTTATTCCATCAAATTAGCTCGGCACCTCTTCAAAGTACAGAAGAATCTTCCAAAGGCAAGAAAAGTGCTGTCAGAAGCCATAGAAATTGACAAAGTATGTGTTTCCTCTTTGTTTTTGTTTTTAATACAGCAAACTGTTTTTTTTTTCTTTCTGAACCCCTTTTATAAATACGGCAACAATGATGACAGGCATTTTGACTGTATGTAATGTTCCATTGCTGCATGGAGACACCAGTCCCTCTAAACTGATGTTGCCATATTTACAGCTTTCAACTCTGGAAATTTGCAAGGTCTTTAATCATATGCGTAACTTGCTTCATACCTTCATGTTCCCTCTTTAGAATCATAAACAGTTATGGGAGTGTTTGTATCTCAAGGCAAACAAAAGTGACCATGTAGGCAGTATTCTTGAAGCATTTTGTGTAACTCTCCAGCCCTAACTGTTAGCTCAACATCACATCTGTTTTTGTAGTGTTGGCTAACTTCTGTTCTATTTGTGAAACATATTGGTCATCTCTGACCTAGTTTAAGAACAAGATGTTTATATTGGCTGTCTTAGCATATGCTTATGTTTCAGAACACATTGTAGACATGCATTCAGTGTTAAATATGATATGACAGATCTGCAGCTTCCGATACTTTATTTTTTCCCACAGGAAAATACAAAACTGTATCTCAACTTACTTGAAATGGAGTACAGCGGTGATCTCAAGCAAAATGAAGAAAACATCTTGAGCTGTTTTGATAAAGCTGTTAATGGTGAATTGTCTATAAAAATGAGGATTACATTTTCTCAGAGAAAAGTGGAATTTCTTGAAGACTTTGGTTCTGATGTAAACAAGTAAGATATAATCTGTGCAGTGGCCAAACTAAGGTCACCAAAAGAGGGGTTGTAAAAATAGTAGGAAAGGGGTAGCATTAGCTGCGTCCATAAGGTGTTATTTTTTTTGTCATCAGCTCTCTGAGGTGTAGGTGTTTTTCTAAACCAAAGTCCTATTTTGACTATCTTGAAGTAGAAATTTCTTTTCAGAAAGTTACCCTTTTTTTTCCCTGAAATACCTAATGCCTTATAGTGCAAAATCCTGTTGCCTGTCACTTCTTACTTTAAAGGGGGATGCCTCTCAAAGAGAAAGTGAAGTGTTCTGCGACACAGGTGTAATATACTTCTGTACCCTGAGTCGCTGCTTCATGTTCCAAAGCTGCATTTTTTTGGTATTTCTCTACATTTAGAAGTGTTAACAGTGCTGTATGCTTACATGGGAGGATCAGATATTTAAGTGAAATTTGCACTTCTATTGCTAATAGCCTTTTTTCATCTTAATATTCTCTAATGTAAATAAGTTTTTGTTTTATTTACATTTTTCAGCTAATTAACTTGGAAAGTTTAACCATGAGTTAGTTTTTATGCTTTGTATGTTTTTTGAAAAATAGTTTCAACTTACATTGACTCTGAACACTCAAACTTGCGTGGCAGCTGAGCATTGCAACTTTGGAGTCCTAAACAGTCCAAACAAAATTAAATTTTAAGCTCTCAAATAATATGAGAGGGCAGAATCTGTACAAGAAACTTTTCACTAAGAGCAATATTGATAGAAGAAGTATTTTTCAACTGATATCTTGTAAACTGTTTTATGCAGCAAATGAACTTTATATTTAGCTATTCATGTGAATTTCAGTTAGGAAATGTAAGTCTTAAGCTTTCACTCATCAATAGGTGGTTATACTTAGTACATGAATACTGTAACTCTTGTTCTGTGTTAGATACATTTGTTCTTTCCATACCATTTGGGAAAAGGCAGTGGGTACAACTTCAGAATTGTTTTAATTCTGTGTAATACTCATTTCCAGTAGTCAAAGAAGTGCAGCTTCCTAAATATCAATACTCCTATGGATAGCATCAACACTTAGGTGAAGTAATTTAATTACTGGAAGGAGTAGCTGTATCACAGACAAGTTGTCTAAAATCTCTCTATAATGTTTGTTTATAAAGAACTGTGTGAAGCACGCTAAAAGTTGAGCAACATGTTGGGAATTTTTGAGGTAACACTTCTGAAAAATTTTTTTACTCTGCCTTGTGGAATCCCCCTTTCAAATTACTTTGTTTTGTTTTCCTATCTCCATTGTTGAATCACTGGAAAAAAAATACGGATTATGATTGAATTTGCTTTAGAATGTTTTAGTATTTTTACATTTTGAACTAGACTTCTTAAAATGGTTGCTTATATTTAAAACATTAACATGGAAGTGGTGAACAAAGTGCTGTTTTTTTCTTTTGTCTTCTTCAGGCTTTTGGATGCTTATGATGAACATCAAGCACTTCTAAAGGAGCAGGATTCTTTGAAAAGAAGAGCAGAGAACGGGTAGGGAGTGTGTTCACCTGAGGTTATACACCGACTTGATAGCTTATGCAAGTTCTGGTAGCTGCAACATGTACTCCACTGAAATGTCTGATACAAAGCATGTAAATGCTTTGGAAATATTTTGGAGAACAATCTCAGAGGCTTTTTGTTTTGTTTAGTCTATACTAGCTTAAAACCTACTGTTAGAACAAAATAACTTTTTAATCACTTAAAAGTATATGCCAGGGCTATGCTATTGGCTTACATTTGGAAACATTTATTGGAAGTTAACTTTTAATTATGTATCGCAGGAATAACTAAATACTGTTAAAAATAACTAAATCTCTAAGGAGATACATGCTGTAGGTGTCTCAGTTTGAGCATCAGTTTAATTTCAAAAGCAGACTGTTGTGCTGAGCACCACATACTACCATCTTTTTTTGAATCGTATTCCATTGCTCTGTTTGGACAGGATGCCAGCTTGGAAAAGATTCCTTACCCTTATCCATTCTAGTATTTCCTACACAGACATTTTTCAAAATCCAAGATACCATTTACAAGTGTATAATAACTTTGCAGGTCAGAAGAGCCAGATGAAAAAAAGATGCTCACAGATGACCCAACTATGGCATCAGCACAGATGATGGATGGGGACATGCAGGTCAATCAGGCAGCATATAACTATAACGCCTGGTATCAGGTAGGTGTATGCTTTGGTTACTTCTTTTAACACATGTTCTGAATATATGCAAATTGTTGTTTTCCCAGTCACTGTTCTTTGTGGCCAAGTGCCAGCTGGCAGGGAAAGGTTAGAATACAACCCTAGCTCATTTTAGTTGCTCTCTTTTCTTTCTGTTATAGAAGTGTAAAATATTTCTCTCTTAGCATGGAGCAGTGCTAGCAGCTTGGTGGCTAGCTCTTCATGTGAAGGGAAGTGTAGGTGAAGGATATTGCTGCCAGAGGGCAATAGACATGTTCTGTGCTGCAACCTTTTGCCCAGGAAGATGACCTTGGGTTACCAACTTTTTCCAGCTAGTTGTTGTTGTTATATCTCAGTATGGGTTGTGCTGCTAAATACCTAAGCTCAGCTGAGATGAGTGCAGCTGGTTGCAGTGAGACCATGGCAACTATCTCAGTGACAGCTTCTGCTAGCTGCAAACTTACAGGCTTATAGGGAATAGTGTCAGGACACTTGGCTCTCCTTGCTTGTGGGGTTTGCTGTAAGAGTGGACACTTTCGTTATCTTCTGCTACTTCCCTTCTGTTGAAATGGAAATCAGGAAGAGCTGTAGGGCAGTTACCAAAGAGGGGATTTGAGGCACAAGAGGTTCACTTTGACCTGTCCTGTATTTGAAGACTTTCTAAGTGCATGCTGCTTAATGCATGCTTCTTAAGCAATTAAAAACACTGCAGGCAACAGTATCTGCTTCTGCACTGGCCTTTGCTAAAAATCTGATCATTGACTTTGCATCTAAACCACACTTCAGTTTTACCTCAGTAACAAAACTGATTTCCAGTAGATTTTGTAAGGTGGTTCAGAGCTTGTGGGCCTTATATTGAAGAGGAACACCCTGAGTTGTTCCACACTTTGCATGCATCCTGCATCTCAATCTGATGTAAAGCCTCAAACAAAAAGCATTGAGACAGGATTGTTCTGGGTGTGACACGGAGCGTGTTGACACTTGTATCACACACTTGTATCACCGCAGCAGATGGTTTGTTCAGAACAATTAAAATTACAAAGGGGTGAACTTAGATGTGTCTTTCGGGAATGATAGATAGCTTAATCAGATCTCCTTCCAGGAACATGGCTGTTCTGACTTGCATTGTTGTGCATCTTTTTCTAGTACAATTACCAGAACGCGTGGAATTACGGACAGTATTATTCTCCTTCAACTTGATCAGAAGAATGAATGAAGCTCACTGTGCAGTTTCAACGAAGAAAGAGTAAAATATATTTTTCTAAATTAGGGATGTTAAAGAACTGTTGTAATACTTGCTTTTTGTTCTTTTGCATGTAAAATGAGCTGATGTTCACAGGGTATGTGTGAAGCAAGATTTGTGTGCTGATAACTGATAAATGGTATCTCTGTACAATTCTAGTTTACTATAAATGCATTTTTTTTTTTTTTAATTCCCTGCACTAACTTATGGAGCTATCTGGAGAATGTTTTTCAGTCTCATACTGATTCCTGGGGTGGGTTGACCTGCGCTAACTGCTAGGTGCCCACCCAGCTGTGCTTTCATTCTCCTTCCTCAGTGGGCCAGGGGGAGAAGATATGATTTAATAAGGTGTGGGTTGAGGTAAGGACAGGGAGCTTGCTCGGCAAAAATTAATTAACGAATTGCTAATTCATAACAGAGTAGGGCAATGAGAACTCAAAGCAAACTAAAAACACTGTCCTGATCCCCCTTCTTCCCAGGTTCAGCTTCAATCTCCATTCTTCTGCCTTCTCCTCCTGTGCTAAGTGGCACAGGGGGATGGTGAATAGGGCTTGCAGGCATAATGCTGCTTCTCTGCTGTGCTGCTTCTCTGCTGTTCCTTCCTCCTTGCAACCTTCCCCTGCTCAAGTGGGGGTCCTTCCCATGGGGCATGGTCCTTCACCAAGTGCTGCACCGTGATCCCTCGGGGTTGCAGCTCACCAAGAGCTTCTCCAGCACGCGCCTGTACCGTGGGGTGCAGTCCTTCAGGAACAGGCTGCTCCAGCATGGGTCCCCCAGGGGCTGCGGTTCTGAGGCACATCCAGCTGCTCTGCCATGGGGTCCTCTGCAGGCTGCAGCAGCGTCTGCTTTGTCAGGGCACCCCCTGGGCTGCTGGGGCACCTGGAGCACCTCCTGCCCTCTCTGTCAGTAACCATGGGGCCTGCAGAGATGTTGCACGCATTTTTCTCTTGTTCCTCCTGCAGCTGCTGTGCGGTGTGTTTTAGCCTTCCTTAAATGTGTTGTCACAGCAGTGCAGCTGGCACTCCTTGACTCAATTTTGGCTGGAACTGGCTTTCATCTGACTTGGAGCAACCCCTGCAGCTGCCTGCTAGCAAAATCCTGCCACCTAAGCCCAATACAATGCTACAGATTAAATCAATAAATCCAAACTTTTCTAAAAGCAGTTGTGATTTCTGTTAGCCCCAGCGGCTGCTATAGGAAACAAGCTGGTCTCGGCTGGCTGCCAGTTCAGGGCCAAGGCTCTCCTTTGACCTGTTCTGCTCCCCTTTCCAGGCAAATCATAACCTGCTTTCACCGTGAGATCTTTTTCTATGCCCCAGTGAGCAAATCTGAGACTACTTTGTTTGTAGTGTTATAACAAACTCTTCAGCTTAATATGGCAGCCTTTGAAAGCTGTGATATGTATTTTCTATTCTGTGTGGGGGGTCAAAAATTAAAATGCAGTGCAAAATGATGTTGCGTTCTTTTTTAAGAAGCACAAACTGTGTTTGGGATGATTTTTGTATCTAGAGTTTTTCATGTACACAATGTGAGCAAACTTTTTTCATTTGATCAAAGTGATCATTCTCATTTTCGTAATAAAAGCAAGGAATTCAGTAGTTCTTGGAGCTTTCTTGGGTTTCCTCATTCACACTAAGAATTCCAGCCTCTACAGGTTCTACTGCTGTCTTGTTTAAAAAAAATCTGTACCTTTAGTATAGAATCACCTCAGGAACTTTGAGGCAGACGTAGTTCTCTTTCAGGAATGGGTTAGTATCATGCCTAACACTTCAAAATATATTTAAAGGTGAAATCTAATATATATGTGTGTTTAAGAATTATGTATGGCATTACAAAGCATCACCTTCCTCTTCCCCTCTAATGTTTTAGATGAACTAATACCGTTGGTGAGTGCTGTTGTAAAACCTAACAGCTGCACAAAAGATAAAGCTGAAAGAGAAACACGTTGCTTTAACTTGAGTGTGGTGTTGAGGTAAATACACTCCAGTAAAACATGACCCAGTACAAGAAGGATCGATAAAACCAGTCACGGCAGGTCAGGATGGCGCTACTTCTCCTTCAGCAGTTTTAATTTAGTCTCATGCATCCCTGTTCCCCCCAGCTAAATAGTTTTAAGGTAAGCGTACACGAAAGTAAAATCAGTTGCAAGTATAAACAATGTTTTCTTTAGTGGTATGTTACTGTACAGCAGTTGGGGGGAACAAACTTGGTTTCGATACAAGGCCACAGTTGTAGTTATACCCTGAAGTTACAAGAGCAAAACTGCAGCTGTCAGAAGCTTTCTTGCTCAGATGGATTCCCAGCAGCAAAGAAAATCTTCATTCAATATCCACCAATTCCACTTCAAAGAAAAGTTTTGCATTTGGTGGAATCCTGTTGACACAAGTTAAGGAAGCTTTAAAAAAGACAAACACAACAAAATTATGTTTACAAAGCTTTGCTGAGTGATTTACCACCTGCTCCTTGCCAGTTTTACATTTCCCTGGCCTATGTTACCGTACTGGATTTAGTGTGTAGCCATTGATGCTGTTTAATATGAGTGCTCACAAGATGTTCAGAACCAGCTCTGCAGATACACCTGTATTAAAACATACTGATCATTATTCCAGTTTCTGTTACGATGAACAGCCGAGTTTCACCTTAACTGCCTGAGCGCTGGCTCTGTTTTTGGGGCACTCACGTGTCTCCCTCTGAGAGGTTAGATTGTCTGAAGGCGTACTGCAGTGGGGAGAAAGGTGGGGGTTGTTTTAGCCATTTAGACAACACTTCAAATTATCAGGACATAAGGTTAGGGGAAGAGAGAATAATTCTTTTCCTTATTGCTAATAAACACCAGGAAGGGTTGGTAAAAAAAGTGTTCTGTAGGACCCCTCCTTCAGTTGTTTCCCAGAACTGCTGCTTCCAGACAAGCTTTGACTGCTTTTTATTCAGTAGCAGCAGATGCTTTGCCTCTCACCCCACAACTACACTTGTCAGCATCTCCCTTTGTGCTGCAGGGGTAAGCATTCAGAAGCAGCTAGAATAAAACCAAGGCAGGAGACAGTAGCAAGTTATCAACTGGTACGCAGTCCCCTGCACAGGAGGTTTGCTTCCAAAGAAAGGGGCAGTTGGCTCCATCAGCTCACTGGACTTACTGTATTCCTTAACACAGCCTGCTATAAGCAGCGAGTGAATGCTTCCCCATTTTATGCCTGTCTGCAAAGCACATCATTCTGCGAGGGGTTTCCAAGTTACTTAAGACAGCAGCCAGTAGTGGATTGTGAAAGGATACTTTGCATCAGGCTGCCCTTTCTTGCCGTACGCCCACTCAGGTTCAATTTCCAGTTGAGCCTTCTCTCCTTTACTCATCGTCAAGAGAGCTTCATCCCACTGAAAACAAAACAAAGACAAACATAAAACCAAAGTCCTAAAGCACTTTTTTAAAAAATGAAGTACATTTTAGATGCTTTTTTCACCTTGTTCCTATGAAGACCCGTGCACTATCACATAATTTGGGCACGTTTGTCCACCCCAAGGTGTACACTGGGGCAGTTCCATTCTTTCCATGTGAGGAAACATTTACCCTGGACACCACAGCTCGGGTTCATGCTTTTACATTGTACAGCTCCTACTGAGACGATGAGATCAACGTGCTTGCTTCAACGTAAGCATCCAGTTTCAGAGCACATTTACCACGAAGTGGATTGGTGCTTATTTAAGGCTGACTCTTAACGCCTACTTGTATTTTCAGTGCTTGTGCCTCTCCAAGACTCACCCACTCTGCCCCAAGCTGCTGATCAGTTCAGCATCGTATCGAAGCTTCACAACAAACAGCTGCTACGCATTTCTTGTGACTGCCTGAGCAGTGTCTGGCACCCACACAAAACACAGGAGTGTTAAGCCACGATACTAAAGCAGAACCCAGGCAACTCCTGCAGTACTGGCCATGTGCCCAAGGCCATTCTCCCCTTTCCAGTGGTGCCCACAAGGCTGCCTTTCTATGTAGCGGCAGCACAGGAGGGGCATGTGCATGACTACGTAGAAAAAAGTCGTGTAGGCACAAGATCCTTCTTGTATTCTTATCTTGTGCAGGCAGCCACCAATAAATATCACCACGAGCTCAGCAGCAGCAGCGCTGATGGAGTCGAGCACCCCATTTGCTTTGTGCATACGCTGGCACATCCCTGACACAGCAGGTTTACACCAGTTTCTGTGACTTAAGATTTCCACAAGCAGGCGGATACACAGAACACTGAACTCTTGGTGCTTTTAGTCTGTCTGGGTATTCCTCTCATGCAGATTCTGCCTTTGCTACCCCAACAGCCAGTGCTGGATACAGCAGAGGAATGACAGCACCAAAACTGCAGCTCGGTTCGGCACACGATGGAACTACAATTTGGGGTTTCAGCATACAGTTCACTTAATGGATGAGCTGAACTATACGTGAGGAAGCACTGAGACAAATAAAAAGAGATGCTGACAAAACCCCATCTTCTGACTGACTGAAGCACACAATGCACCCAGCACAGAGCCCCGGGAACCCGATAATCTTGCCTATTGTGCAGAGCACGACACAGACAGCAAGAGGCTGTACGTGTCCTGGGAACATGCAGCTGTCAGACCACACGCCACTTAACGAGAGCAGTGACACTGCAGATGGATGGATGCATCCATAATGAATAAATATTACATCCTGCTGATGCAAAAGCTTCCAAGGTGCCTTTTTACCTCGTCAAGAGCCAACAGCTCGAAACCTGCATCGCAGCCATAAACCCTGCAGTGTGAAAACTCTTTTTGGATTCTGAGGGAGTCAGTAACGATTTACTTACGCCTCTGATAACTTTTCCTACGCCAACTTTGAAACTTAAAGGCTTGGCAGCTTTTTCTTCTTTGAACCTGAAAGAAAGTAGTATTTTCATTTGCTTTAACACCACTCCAACACATACAACGCTTCCATTGAAACTTGCTGTTATGATCACGCTTTACGTAGCTACCTATTCTTATGATATTACTTCTAGCACACTGACAGATTTTTAGGGGAAAAATTTAGTGCTGTGCACTAAAAACATTATCAAATGATCAAGGTGCACCAGGAGCTAAAGCTGACAAGCACCTTTCAGATATGGATCCACCGAACCTGTAAGAGCAATTTCTGAATGACGAGATTTCAGATGTCACAAATGGATTACTGAATCAAACAAACAAATGAAAGTCATTAGGGAACCAATTTTGCTTTCAATGCTGTAGAAAGATTTTAAAACAGGTAGGATGAATGACAGATGGTATGTGAATGACAGCTCTGCTGTTCCTCTCGCTGTTGAACCACCGCTGCTGGAAGACAGTTTCTAGCAGTTCAGACTTCATACACATGAATCCTCTGATCAAAAGGTCAGGTAATTACTAACATCTCTGCAGTAAATATTGTAGAAGAGACTACTTCAAACCACTGTCGCTCCAGGGCCTCCACACTTGGGGGCTTATTACAGAAATACACCAATTAGTGGATATTTAGGGAAGCTAACTCATTGCTGAGTTCTGTAGATAAGGACATCTCCCTGAGCAGGACCCGTCCTTCCTCAGGAGTAATTTCTGGGCTTATTGAGTCCTCGCATTTCACATTATTTGTGGCCTGGAGAATGCGAAACTCGAGGCCTGGCGAGCTGCAGCAGTGTCACGTTACAGCCACCAGCCCTAAAATACCGCCCGGCCTCCCCTCATGGAAAATCTGAGCGCAGCGGGTGCAGGGCCGGCCCGGCAGCGAGGCGACAGCACAAACCGTGCCTCTGGAGCCGGGCCAGGCCCACCACGGCTGCTGGACGAACCCAGCTGCTTTCCCCTCTGTGTCTGGAGCAAAACCCCAGCGCTCCGCACGCCCGGCCTCACCCGTCTGCACGTTGGTGTCGAAGACCGTCCCGTCCTGCAGCTTGCCCGTGTACCAGCAGTGCACGGTGTCTCCCTTCTTCGGGAAGTTGGTTTTGTCGCCCTTCTTCAGCACGGACTTGGTGTACTTCGGCGGCCCCTGGGATCACGGACACAGGGTCAGGGCTGCAGCAGGGCCCCAGCCCGGCCCCCACCTCCCCCCTGGCACCCACCTCGTCCCGGGCCTCCTCGGGCTTCGCCGCTCGCTCCTTGGCCTCCTCCGCCTTGCCCGGCTTCGACGGCTCCACCGCCGGCTCCGCGCCCTCTGTGCCCCGAAAGCGCTGCGGGGGGCGGTGGCGTCAGGGCCCCAAATGGCCCCAAATGGCCCGGTACGGTACCATATGGCCCGGTACGGCCCCACACAGCCCCACACTGGCCCCATCCATCCCCGGCACAGCCCCAGCCCCGCTCCCGGCCCCACCTGCGTGTGGAAGAGCTGCGTGTAGGCCGCGATCAGCTGCTCCTTGTTCGCCGTCTTGGCCACGTTCTTCACCTGCCCCAGCAGCCGGTGCTCGGCCAGGAACTGCAAAGACACGGCCGTGAGCGGCGGGGCCGGGAGAAGAAGGGGAGGAGGAGAAGGAGAAGGGGAAGGGGGGAGCCGCTCGCTGCCGCACCGCCTGCGCCGCGTGCTGCTGCAGGAACTTGATGATGTCCTTCTTGGGCAGCGCCTCGCTCCGCAGCTCCTCCGCGCTCCAGGGCTGCGCCGGCGCCGCCGCCGCCGCCATCTTCCCGCAGCGCCCGCCCCGTGAAGCCCCCGCCCCGCTCCGGCTCCTCCGGCTCCGGCTGCGGCTGCGGCACCGCCCCGGGGCTGGGCCGGGGAGGCAGCGGGGAGGCAGCGGGGAGGGTGGCGGCGATGAGCGGCGGGCGGCAGGCCCAGCTGCCCCGGGCATGGCGCCTGCCCCGCGCTAAGGCGGCAGAGCCCGAGCCCGAGCCCGGTGTGGCGGCGGCGGCGGGCGGGGAGGCTGAGGCTGAGGCGGAGGCTGAGGAGGATGAGGAGGAAGCCGACGACCTGCTGCTGGCGGCGGCCGCGGCGGCGGCGGACCCGTCCCCAGCCCCTTTTCCAGCCCCATTTCCATCCCCAGCCCCATTTCCATCCCCAGCCCCTTCTCCGTCCCCGCCGGCCGCCGGGTTCTGCCTGGCCGCGGGCTCGCTGTGGATCTACCCCACGAACCTGCCGGTGCGCGGCTACCAGCTCCGCATGGCCCGCGCCGCGCTGCTGGCCAACACGCTGCTCTGCCTGCCCACCGGGCTGGGCAAGACCTTCGTGGCCGCCGTCGTCATGTACAACTTCTACCGCTGGTTCCCCTCGGGCAAGGTGCTGTTCCTCGCCCCCACCAAGCCGCTGGTGGCCCAGCAGATGGAGGCCTGCGCCCGCCTGATGGGCATCCCGGCCCGCCACATGGCCGAGATGACGGGTGGGTGCTGCTGGGCTGGGGGCGGCTGGGCTGGGGGCTTGCAGGGCTCCCTAACGCCACCGCCTTCCCTTGCAGGGGGCACCCAGGCCCTGAGCCGGCGGGACCTGTGGGCCACCAAGAGGGTCTTCTTCCTCACGCCGCAGGTGATGGTGAACGACCTCTCCCGCGGGAGCTGTCCTTACGCCGACATCAAGTGCTTGGTCATCGACGAAGCCCACAAAGCGCTCGGGAATCACGCCTACTGCCAGGTAACGCCGCAGGCCCCAGCCCTGCTCCTGATCGAAAAACCCCCAAAGTCACCAAAGTGCTCCATAAAGTGTGGCTGTTGCTGCTGGGAGGCTTTCCTCTAGCTCCTTCGCTTTGAAAGATGAGCAGAAATCAAGCAGTGCTCTATGCAATCAATTCAACCTATATTAAAACCTGACAGGGTGAGATGGGAGCATTAGTACCATCTGAACAAAACTGCAACTTTTTGTTTCCAAATATTTTCTGAACTGAAGCCATAAAAACATCAGCGTGCTTTCCAGGAGTGTTCCTGTTCGCAGGTGCCCTCTGCTGCCTCTGTGCCGGGTTTGAATAGATGCGAAGTGGAGGGATGTGCTGTGTCAGAGAAACGTGGGGCAGCTCACTTGGGTTACTCCACTGTTTATCTTTTTGTTAAACCAACTGAAAAATCATTTAATAATTTACCAAGGTTACTCCGCTGAGTGGGATTAGTGTAATGCACTTAATGGAGATTACATGTTCATGGATGAAATCTTTATAAACTGAACACTTCCTGGCTCCCATGTGAGTTTAGATTTATTCTTTTTAGGATGCTTTGTTGAGCTTTTTCTACCTAGTAGGTATTTTTGTCAGCATAGTTATACAAGAAAATAATCTCCTTTAAGAATGTTAACATGAAACTTTCCAATTCCTAGGTTGTAAAGGAACTAAGCAAATACACGAATCAGTTTCGGATCTTGGCCCTCAGTGCTACGCCAGGCAGTGACACAAAGGCAAGTGAAATTACTTTCATGGCTTGGATAATACAGTTTCGGTAGAAGCTGTGGTTGATAACAGTTGGAATACTGTGCAGGTTATGGAAGTCGAGGAGAATTCCAGGTAAAAACTGAATCATTTCACAATCCGTTTGTTCAGTGTTTGCCTTCGTGTCGCTATAGACTCTATACTATTTATTTCCTGTCTGTTCTCAAAGGATTTTTTTCGAGAATACAGACCTACTTGAACCAAAAAGAGCATACTCTTAATGCAAAATGGCTTTTGTATGCTATTCAGTGTGGTTTATTGGGTAGGCATAAGTAGAACTGAGGTTTTCAGTCTATGGCAGGTGGACATCCAAGTTCAGTTTAAGGCAAAGCTGTGTTTTTTAATTATTTTATGGAGCTTTTCAAGATGTTAGGCCTTTTGTCAAGAGAGTTGTGTAGTGCTCGTAAAGCTTATTATTAAAGAGGAGGTAAATGGAGAAAACTTGGTTAAACTCAAGTTTTCTAAGCCTCTCTTTGTGCTAATCAGCGTGGCCTAAAGTGCGTGTTCCTCGTGTGGTGGTGTGTGGCAGGGGCTGTGGCTCTGTCACAGTGCCCGTGGTGTAGACTTGGTGCCAGTGCCACCCTGCTGTGTCCCGTAGCTGCTGGAGGTCCCCGCTGCTGCAGCATTGTTAGTGTGCTGGCTGCCTGGCTGTGCCCAGGCCTGAAGGGAGACTTCTGTCGCTGCAGCCCTCCTGCAGTTTTGCATCCATGAGCTCACTGCGTTGGCTCTTTATGTGCTACTTAAGATCTTTAAGTGGAGAGTCTTCAGTTTTTCATTTATAGATACCAAGTACATTTGCCTTTGTATTATATTCAAGGGCTGTTAAAATATGTTACATAAAACGTGTTAAAACGGTTACTTTCCTGTGATGTTCATTTCATCACTGGTGTGTTAACAAGCCTTTTTTGTGGGTTTCCAAACAGGCCGTGCAGCAGGTTATCTCCAACTTGCTCATTGCTCAGATAGAGCTATGTACTGAAGATTCTCCAGAAATTCAGCCTTATTCTCATGAGCGACAAGTGGAAAAAATTGTTGTTCCACTTGGTGAAGAACTGACCGAAGTTCAGAATGCCTACATCCAGGTGAGTTGTTTCATTTATTTATCACAACATATACATTTAGTGACCCTGTCCGTTTGTGTGTGTGTGTGTATACACACCCACCTTCCGATCTGAACATCGCTGCCTAGACCAGCAGTAGCTTGTGACAGTAACACCTTCCTATGGAGTTAATTTTGCCAGTGGTGTCAACTACAATAACTGCTGCTTCGCTTTGCACCACGGACACCTGTTAGCTTGCAGTAGCCTAAGCAGCTCTGATGCAAAGCTTACCATTGAGTTTTCTCACCCTCCTTCAGGAGTCCGTGCAAATTGGCATGAGACATGAACTGAGGGCTTCTTACTTTGGCTGGAATTTAGTGTTTATTGGGAGGATAAGAAGAGCCATGCGTGCATTGTCTAGGTTATTGCCAGCCTTGTGAAAATTGTATATTGACTCAAACATTTCATCTGGTTAACAATGGCCTTTAGAGCTTTAACCCATCCATGAGTGTGCTTCGTTCCCCTTGTGTGGGCTTGGTTGTGGTTTTTTGTTTGTTTGTTTTGGTGGGGGAGTTTGGGGGGAGAGAAGCTGGCAGTGGGAAATGTAGAACATTTGCTTGTTTGTTCTTAACCAGTAGGTAATATCCAAATACAGGGCAGTAGTAGGCAAATAGTAGTATATAAGGTACCATTTTGATAAGTTCAAAATGTATGTTTGTTTTTTAGTAAGAGACATAAAAATAAATGGAGTTAGTTGCTATCTAGCTGTTGGCTGTCGAGTATGCTTTTGGTTAAAGTTTAATGATGTAGGTGAAGACCATGAAAGGCAAATTTGCACGTTTGTTTCCTAAATTAAGTTGGCTTTTTTAGATCTGCTGTTTTCAAACAAATGACATGGGATTGTGTTTAACTGAAGTTCCAGTGACAGGCTGGAAGGAACTTTAAGATAGATTTGGGAATGAATATGGATGCTCGTGTTGGTCTTGGTGATTTAATTTGAGGTGTTTGGCTTCAGATGTAAGCTGAAATAAACGTGGGTTTGGCTGATCTGGGGTAACCGAGGAGTACTGACAGACCTTCGCTAACTTCAATCAGTCGAGGGCTGTCAGTGTGGCTTCGGTGGTTTCCATTTCCTTTCTTCGATCTGCTGTTTGCCTTTGCACTGGTGCCCTAACGAGAAGGGACCTCTGGCACGCACAGCGCTGGCGCAGGCAGCAGCAGGATGGTGGTGGCAGCAGGGTGTTGGTGGCTTTTCTGCAGCCTCCTTCCAGAGCAGCGCGGGGGGCCAGTAGGCTGTGGGAGGTCAAGGGTATTTCCCAAAGGCGGCTGCAGGTGGCTTCTGCCATGGGGAATGAGCTCGCCAGCAGACTGCTGGCTACAGCATATAGATGCATAGCTCCCAGCACATGGGTTTTTTGTTTGGTTGGTTCAAAGACTTATGTTTTGTGAGAGCTGTTTAAGTATTTTGGGTCTTACAGCAACCATGTCAAATTCAGGGCTTAAATGTCTTCTGTAAAATCAGAACAGTACCTTCTGACTTCTGTTGTATCCATTCAGAGGAAAAATAGAAATGAAGAGATCACGAAAGACAGAATTCTGAAGTAAATGTTAACAAATAAAAATAATTCTTTATATGATACAAAAAGTGAAACCCAAGTATACTCTTTACACAATAAAATCATTATCTTTAATTTTGACAACAGTAACAGTAAACAAGACAACATTTAAGTGAAAATAAAGGGCAGTGTAAAGCTGCACAACTCAGCAATGCCAGAGAAATTATATTTATGCTTATATTTGCATACATACAATAAGCAAGGTCCTGAGTATCACAATAGCTGGAATAAACTTTTTAGGCACTAATGCTTGTTTGAAAAATACACAGTATGCAGGACAACGTTTATCTGTTAAGGCTACAGCATTTAATCTTCAAAAATATGTTTGAGTTCTGTTTTATTATCTCTTTTGAATAGTAGAAATCAAATAATTCAAATTAAAAATGGAAATCCTTTAATGGCTTACAAAGCAGAGCCACAGGTGAGTAATAAAATACCTATGCCAATAGCAGGAGTTAGGTAATTATGTTTGACATAAGGTTTTCAAACTTTCTAAAATGATCTATTTCAGTAATTAACACTTCCTTGGCATTCATGGGTGTAACTATCAGGCAAACTTTATTGTGTGAATGGAAACCTGCTGTACTTTGTGAGGGCTGGTTGCAGAAGCTGGTCGTGTTCCATGGCCATAAAGTGTATCTTCAAACTAAAGATTAATTGGTTCTTTCTCAGCAGCAGAAGCAGCCTAACACAAGTCAAAATAGGTGCTATCTGGAATTCACAGTTTTACATAAAACACTGAGCGCTTGCTGTTTGGATATCAGCACGTTCCAAGAAGTACCTTGGGTTTGTGCTTTAGTAACAGGCGGGTTTCTATTACGTACTCACAGGTAACTGAGCTGCAGAAGTATTTAGGTGAAGATTCTCTATGGAAATAGACATACCATGTAGCAAACACTTTTTCAATAGACTTTGTACATAATTTTACATTTAAAAACTGATATTTCTGGTGAGAGAATTGAACTGCTTCCAGCAGATGTTTTATGTTTGTACTAAAATAATTTCTATAATCAGCAAAAGCAATCAAATTGCAGAAGCCTCTTTCCTTTGATGTAAAATCTTGTAAGAGTAGAAAATCTGTTTTTACTTGCCCCTATATAAAAATTGTTGGAGGGGTGAGGGCATAGGGAGAAGTGGGCAAAACAAAACCTGTCATTAATGCTGCTCTGGACCTTCTACACAAGTCAGCTTTAGAAAAGTTTCTCTTATTTTCCATTAGTTTGTTAACTTCCACTTTAAATAGTGGCTGGCAGTTCCAGCAATGCGAGATGTTGACAATAAATAAAAGTCAGAGATAAAATGCCTTCTCTAGCTGGTCCCTAACGTTAGGGGTACTGAAACAGGGCACGGTTCCACATATGGAAAAGCAAGTCTGATTTTTTTTTCCCCTGGTTGTGACCCTGTACCTTGAACAAGCTGAGAGCAGTAAGAGATACGAGAGGCACTTTCAGCACCTCACCCTGCTGGGTAAGAGGTGCTTGGATGTGCATTAACCTGGTGCATCAAACTGCTCCCAGCTGGGCCACCGCTGGCACAAGCACTGGTGCTGTCACCTGGCAGCTTGGGGTGCCTGCTGGGCAAACCAGGCTCTGTAGGTCTCTGGCTGGAAGGAGGACCCCAAACCCACGGCCTTTTCTGAGGTTTTGCCCTGCCAACTGCCCCCAGCCTCCCAATCACTCTAATCACAGTCTGTCTGTAATAACACCTGTCTGTGCTGGGCTAGGGCAGGCTGAACAGCTGGGGCAGTAGGAGATTGAGGAGAAGGGGGTGAGGACGGGGCCCCCAGCACTGTCGGTTCAAAGTAAGGCTTTTCTCTCCTTATTTATTTCCCCCACTTGCATCTCCCTGGTCTCTGCAGGCAGCAGCCACCCGAGGGCACCGTGCTCACACTGAAGTGCCATCAGCAGCTCCCAGCCACCCCCCCAGGACCTGCTGCATGTTTCAGGTTAACATAAAGTCAGTGTTGTGCAGCACAGAGCCCTGCAGAAACATCAGGCTTAAAGGTCTTGGGACCTGTTCGTTTATTCAGAAGTACCGCATCAATCCCCTCTGCCAATTAACAACCACTGCCATAAGTGCTCAGGCAGAGGCTCTGGTTGTGTTGTGTGTTGCAACTGGAGAACACAAAAGCTCAAGTAGTTGATACGTGACCCTGGGGATATACTCCATTCAATTTTATATAAAAAGTCATTTACTTAGATTAAGATTAAGCTCTATTATCATATCTCTAAGGGGAGACATGGAAGGGATTTCTGAGAGCAAACCTGTTTGCTAACTCGATTCTAAAGTGCGTTGGGTGCTCCCTAACTGGTGCGTAGCAAAGCCTGCGTGCTGCTCAAACACGGGGCGTTGGAGCTGTGCGGGCTGGGCTTCGAGTCCCAGTGCACTGGGCGCTGCTTTGAGACTCACTATGTGGGTGAAGGCAAAGGAAATGAGCTGCAGCATGGAAAATTAGGAATTAGGAAGAGAAATGCTCACAGTGAGGGTGGTCAAATACTGGAACAGGGCCCAGAGGGGCTGGGGGAGCCTCATCCCGGGAGGTGCTGAACGCCGGGCTGCACGAGGCCCTGAGCAGCCCCATGGGTGCTGGCCCCTCCAGCAGAGGGCTGGGCCAGGTGAGCATTGGGGCTGTGTAGTTAGTTTACGTGGTTCTGTGCTAAGAGAAATACTGGCAGCATTTCTAACTTCAGCAGTGTAACACTGCCATAAGAACATAAAATGTAGTGAACAGATTGCTGAATGTTAAAAACACTGCTGCCGGAGTAAAGACTTAAGATAAAGTGTTCAGAAAGCTGGAGCTGAAATGAACCACTTTCTGTTTGGGAATGACACATTTGTCATGGGGTTACTGCAAGTGGGTGATTAAGGTGAGCTGTAACTTTCCTACCAAAACATCAGTGAGCCTAAGCACTATTCTGCTGCCTTGGTCTCTTCTCAGGGTCTAAAGTACTTTGGTTGAATGCTTGGTGAGGTAATGCATTAAGCATTGAGCATCTCTGCTCCACCAGAGATAAGAACAAAGCTGGTCAGCATTGGCCTAGTCTTGTTCCTTGGTTTAATCCTGGCGGTCTAACTCTGGTAATTGTCTTCAGAAATAAAGACCCAGAAATTCTTTTTTCTCAAGCATAGTCTGCGTGTGAGAATTGGTTTTAATGCATGTCCCATCGAAAGCCCCAGCAGTGCCTTTCTGTAGCTGGTACAGCACTAAGTGCCCAGAGCAAGCCAGGACAGGGGCTCCAGGAGCTCCGTTAGGACAGTCCCAAGCCCCAGCAGAGATGCTAATAAGTGGGTGAGGGGAGAGGGCTCTGCCTCCCTTATCTTAGGGGGAAGTGGGGAAGAAAAGGTGAACTAATTTTTCTCATTTTTACAGTGCTAAAATTTCCATAAGAATTATTTAGAACTGGTTTCATATGTTAGCTCTGTTTGCTTAGTAAGTTGGAGTGATTGCCTTGCTAAGCTGGCTAAAGCCACGTTTTTAGATTTCCTCAAGGGTTTGACATCTAGTCTCACACAATTCACTTGTAAAATTCTGCCAGTAAATCAGAGCTGATTCTTGTAACAGACAGGCATCAGAAACGGGCAGCTACGGTCTTTGGAGGAACCAGATCTCATTGTGTCGATTAGCAGCAGCTGGGTTTGTGTATCCTGCAATGATGAACGTATCCTGCAAACATAACTCTGGGCTCTCCAGAATTTCCGCCAGCAGGTTTATTTCTCTCATTATAGAGTCTTCATTGGTGATTCCTCTGAAGCTCCTGTAACAATCAACTTCATATCAAATTCTTTTTAAAATCCGATTTTTCCCGAGCCTAGATGTGCCTTCTGTTCTAAGCTCAGCCATGATTCACAAATGGCACTACCTGACTCTGGTTGGTCTCAAGCAGGTAACAGTTTGTTCTTAACTCATCATTTTCAGTGATGTGTTAGATAGTTTGTTGCCAGCAATAGAGAATACTGTGTGTTTTGAGATGCTTTATATCTCACATTTACACATGCATTATTTTCTGAATACCTGAGTTTAATAAAGCAGGCAGCTTTCAACAGGTACTGAAAATCATGTCTTAAGTTTGCTAGGTTTTAGAGGTTGGTTTAACATGTGCAGCATGCCTACATGTACGTTGAGAACTGTGTCTTTTTGCATTTTTCTAGAACAAAATGAAAATGTTTCTTACCTGCTATAAACAATAGTAGAAGGCCATTCTTCAATGATTATGTCAGAGTCAAAGGGATGAGGTGGCTGGTCCTGCAGCACTTCGGGCAGGTAGTACGCTACCGTCACCGACTGCGTCATCTCCGACTGAGACTCATTCGTGTGTACTATGGTGACGATGGGGATTGTTATCCCCAGGTACAGCCCTGAGGAGACAAACATGACTTTTAGAAAATACAAAAGGAGGTCTTCATACCCTACTTGATTTCTGAACTCCTACTGAATTATATAGAGTACCACTGAGAAGAAAGGTTTGTTGTTATTAGAAGGAATTCAGCATACCTCAGAAATTGGATTTCTGTATTCCAAGTAGGAAGTAACATTTGATTGTGCCTTGTAATTCGTATGTATGTGTCTGCATATCTGTGTAAATGTATAAAACCTCTGTGTGCAAATATGTGCATGTGTGTCTAAAACGTGGTAGTTGGCAAGCTCTCCTGTCTCCACGGATGGCAGATGGTTTGACGTAACTTCTTACCTCCATCTTCAGAGGGATGTGTTTTTGTGAACTGCCCTTGTCTCGTGTTTCAAATATTTGGGAACAAAGAATGTAGGCAGGACAAGGGGGCTGCATTGTGAATTCATTTAGGATTTACTGTTAACAAACATGTTGCTTTATTTGTGCAGTAAATAAAGCTTGTGGTTTTGACTGTGCAGATAGCAGTGATTATTAGGGGGTGAGAAATCTGCTTCTGTACATGGCTTGAAAACAAAACTGCTGTTCTGCAGCCAAAATAACTTTTAAACAATATTTAAAATGTTAACAGATTTCGGGGGGTGGAGGGGGAGTGGGAAAATTAAGAAATTAAGACTTGGCTTGATCACAGCACGTGGTATTACAGAACAAAACACTGGCTATTGTAGTACTTCTTAATCATCTGGAGAATGGTAAAAATGAAAAGCTATCAAGGACATGGTGGATTTGCTATCCTTTTAGTGTTCTTGAGTTAAAATGGGATTATGTTTTTGGAAAATACTCTCTGACCACACCAATTTTTGGTGTCCATTCAGACGTGTACAAGTTAAGTATCATGAGCTAACACAAGGCAAGTGTAATGCTACGGGCTCTCGGCGTTACACTGTGAGTAGGGGATTGCAGTACTTGTGTGACAACAAACCCACTGAATGCCGTAGCAAAAGCCTCGTTCATAGCCGACAGTCTACAAAAATAGCCAGAGCCAGTTCCCAAACAGTTGTAGTGGTCAGGATGCCCTCAGAAGTCAGTTCAGTGATCATGTACCTTCAGAGGTTCCCTTCTAGCATGTACGTAGAGGGACCAGCATCCAGTTTAGATTATACTGGAAAGGCCGTATTACAGGAGGATGGTGATACAGACAGAAACAGCTAATAAAAATATCCTCCTAATTAGGAGGGACTAGTCCATAAATACGTTTTCACTGTAATGAAGAATTGTGGTACTAATTACCTGAGGAATTCTGCTCACAAATGTACCTCATAAGCTTCATGAATCCAAGACAAATGCTCTGTTCATACTGTTTTTCTTTCATTTTTATACAAGCCCACTTGGCTTTTCCATACTGACGTTTTTCATAAAGCAGGTCTCCAAGCTGCAAACACAGTCAGATCATAATTTTGTGTTTTAAGTTAAATAAAAATAAAATAAAAAAACTACCACAAGCAAACAAGAGTCATACAATATTCAGTACTTTGATTATAACATGTGCCTACAGAAGTTGATTTCTTTATGAACAGGAGAATAGCAAGCACGAGAAGTTATTTTAACTCTCAGCGTCAGTGAGACCTTAAGTTATACCTTAAGTGTTTTGTTTGCTACTCCGTTCATGTGCAGTTTGTTTCAAGGTCCAAGTTGGCATATAATAAGTAGATAAACAAAACCAGTGCAATGAATTACATGAATAAAAGAAAAATGGCATCTTTTTTCGACTGTCAGTGAAATGATTTTGAAAGGAACATGTAAGTGTCAATCCTTTCTCATATAAATCCAGGAGGGATATTCTAATGATCTTGGACCAAAATCTATTTCAGCAGACTTACAGGTCCTTCTTCTTCAAAATAAGGAACTGATAACTTTTGACCTTGCATTATCTAATATTTAGTTACTACACTACTACAGAGAAACTGCTTTTGAGCATTTAATTACAACATGAAGAGTTGAGTCCCAAACCGTTCAGATGAAACACACTCAAATAGTGAGATTTATAAACTTGAATGATATGGATCTGTTTAAAATAAATGGGATGGGAAATCTTCCTACGCGGTTAGTAAAGATCTCTTTATTTGTCATTTAAGGTTAGACACCTGTTTGCAAACTTCCTGAACTGTAAAAAAATTGCTGGACATTTAAGGTTTTAGTGGAGGTTTCTATGAGATGGTTTCTATGAGATGGATTTACAAATTGATGTTCTCTTTGTAACGACCCACGATACAAAGCTACAACTTTGGTTTTAAATTCAGATAATCTCCTCCAAGTACTGTTTCCTAAGGTTTAATGAACATGATTGTAAAGAAGCAATGATTTAGATGAAGAAAATGGGGTTTTATTTTAAATGTCAAAATATGAAGGGGTTTTGTTAGATTAATTCAAAAATGTCACCAAGACTGCCATTCTTGACTGCCTTTTGACATTCCTGCTAGTTTCTAGCTTACAAAAACAGAAAACGCCACACATGCATGAAAAAACAGTGAGATGTTAAAAAAGAAATGCAGTTATCCAGCTATAAGGGGTATGTCCACTTAGGATTTTTAGTGCTATAAGTGGATGAGTTACTTGTATAAAGGAACGCAGCTTTGAAATCTAGGTATGAATACTGAAAACACTGTTAGAAGCTCAAACGGGAAGGAAACAGGTACCTTTTCTTTGCGCTGGATCAGAGTAAAAGGGATGGTCTGCCTCTCCTGGGGGCTGTTATTTCTGGTCAGCTGCTGAATCGGCTCTGCCATGTCTACAATAAAATAAGGCATTTCCAAGTTAGCTGTGAAGCTGCAGAAACAGGAAGGAAATGTTTCATTCTGCTTTCTCTGAGTTAAACTTCTGTGGACTGTGTGCCTTTAACAAGTTTCGTTTGCTTTTCAGTGCTAGCAGGAAAGGCTGGCTGGCTTTGGTCTCTGTACTGTTCAGAACAGGTCTTGCCCTCCCACCCCCTCTATATTCCAATTACGCGTGTCTCTTTTAAAGGGCTTTTGTCAGTGCCCACAGGTGTACTGCCAACTCTGGCATCTCTGCCAGCGCTGCATTCACATGTATCCACATGAAGAAGCAAATTGCTTCAGCTGCTCTTGCTCACAGTTCAAGGAAGTACTGCTGTGGGAGCTGTCACTTCCAAAGGACATTTTGTCTGATAGCTAGCCCCAGCCTTTGGTGCTACGCATGTTGCCGTGCTGCTCGTGCATGCTCCAGCCTCTGTGTGCACACTGAAGCTCTGTGTCTTCAGTGATTTACCCAGTGATGCCTTTTCTCTTTAAATGCAAGCCCTTCTAGTAAGGCCTCACAGGGCAGGACAACTTTAAAAACAGAAGCCGAACAACCAATTTTGTTAAGAAGAATGCTCCCCACCACCTCACAGAGGCGTACAGAGAAGGCTGAGTTGCCACAGAAAATGGACTGAGTTGCGACCTAAGTTGCCGTGGAAAATTCTCATGAGGTACATCAAGAAAAACACAGTGCCAGTGATCAAACGCCAGGACAGGGGCCTGAGATGTTGAGGGGCCTCTGTCCTTGGGAAAACATCAGCTTGATGAGGCCCCGAGCAACTTCAAAGCCGACAGATAGAAGCCTAACTTGGAAACCAGCTCTGCTTTTAACAAGGAGCTAGACTGCAGAGCTCCAGAAGCTGCTTACACCCTAAATTATTGTGTAGTTGTGTATTAGCATAAGTAGATTTTATACTTCCATTAAAAATGCCGAAACTATAGATGAGGAAGAAGAAAAGTGTTCTGTTAAGGTAAAGAAGTATAAGGTGAGTAAACAATTCCTCAATGCATACTTCAGTGAAGAAATGTGTCTTGAGAGGATGTGATTTTAACAAAGCAAATAGAAAAGATCTTTCTTGTGTGCTATCTTGACACCATTTCTGTTTGGTGCAGAATTTTTATCCATATGGGCTGTCTGATTAGATGCCGGGCACATTAGATGAAAGTTTATGTTCAAGGCTGGGAGGGGCAGAAGGCTGTTGGCTTGCAGTGAACATTCCTGCAAAAATGCAACAACTTCACAAGGTGGGAGTAGAGCAAAGCTAGCTTCATGATTTGTGTTCTGTTCATCAGAGGATTACACCTGACTGAAAGAAACACTGGGGTTCAGTGTTCTCAAATTAGTCCTTACCATAAAGCACTTTAAAAGTTAAACAGAACACACCAAGTATATTTGACTTACAGGGACACTGCGTTTTGCATGCTCTTCATGTCTGCCTTTTTCTTTCTTCTTGCCCTTTGGACCAAGAAGGACCCAAAGTACGGTCTAGTGCCATCGCTTCTGGTCTGAGCTCTGGCGTTCTGGCAGCAGGTGATGTGAAGGAGAGTGTTAATAGAAAACATTGTTGAAGAGCTCTAAGCATGCTTAGTACAGAGATGCAACTGAAATGTGCCGCAGCTCTTTGAGTGATTCTCACATTTTGTAAGGGATTCTGTAGTGAACCTGTTCTTGAGTTCCAGCTGCAGACATAAATAAAGGTCCAGTCTGCAGCAATCATCACACTTCCCAGCCGAGCTCAGGGGGACAGAAGGAGCAAGTGCTTGCCTATTTAATACTAGCATATTCCTGTACTCCTGCTCTCCCATCCTTTTGTAGTTTAAATACGGTTGGATTAGGTGTAGATGCAACTATGGTTGCCTCAACAACAGCTCTAACTGTAGTTCCTAAAAAACTCTGCCTAAAGTTAGCTCCTAGCAGAAGGGCTTAGAAGCTCTGGTTATAAGGCTGAAGCAATGGAGAACCTCTTTTCCAAAACAGCTGGTCCCTTGCATGTCAAACTTGAAGTAATGCAAGCATTTGTGCACTGTGATAGAGGCTTAGGAACTTGATTTTTCTGTACAGTGTTTGAAAATGTTTGTGAATTTCTGCTATGCTACTTTATGCTGTGTATCAGACATGTTCCAAAGGACTGTATATTCCAGCTGAAATAAGATCCCCTCTCTTCTGTGTTTTGAGTGCCTCAGAGTCTTAAAGACAGAAAAGGCAGGATGATGGGGGGAGGGAGGAAGAGTATTATTCATCTCTGAGAGAAGAGAATTAAGATGCAGAAGAATTAACTTAGCCTAGGTCACTCGTAAATCTGTAGCTGAGCTGGGAATCAAACCTACATCTCCTGGCATCCAGTGCAGGGGGTTTAGTTTTAAGACCATTTGGAATAGTAAAGATCCTTTTAATAAAGGGTAGAAAGATACACTTCAGTTAATTTTAAACTTTTTTTAAAATGTCACTGGGAACTAAATTTAAAATATAAGTAGTGACATTTAAAATTGATTTCTTCAGATGCTGAGAGAAGAACAGTAGATGAGACTTCCAGAGTACCAAGGAGTTAGGAAACATTTCAAGGCTCTAGAAATGTTAGCTCTATTTTCATTCCTTTGCTGATAAATGTGATCAGATTTTTTTCTTTTTTCCTGTGTTAATGCACGGGATAGGATTTACAACTAGTAAGTCCATTTAGGGGTTTTATTCTTCAGTTCATGAATCTCTGCCTGCCAGGCACGGCAGTATACCACGGGTAATAAATGTTTTAGCCTGCACAACAGCTAAATTATACAGCACAAAGCAAGGGAGTTGCTTGATGTACATACCCTCTGCCAGTCCAAACTTGCAAACTTACATACTGGTGTGAAAAAAATGAGGCAAGATGATACTGAGTTGTAGCAGTATATCTAGGTAAAGGCTTACTTTAATTAAGTTTTAAAAACTACTAATTGTAAATTTCAGTCTTGAAATAATTGTATACCTGCCTATGGGTAGGTATTATGAAAGAGGCAAATCTTTACAAAGAAACGTATATAGATAATGCACACTTGACAAGACTTGTACACAGTGACAAGATGGAACAGTATTTGAAGTGTTGCACAACTTAATTGGTGTCTGATCAGACCTGCTGTGTCACTGGACTGGGATGTACTTGTCAGCTGTGCCCTCAAACCATGTGCACACACACCAGGCTGCTGAGTTTAGGAGGCAGCTTTGTACCACAAGGAAGCAGTCTTCATGCTGAGGAGAACCACGAGACCCCTGCCACACACCTTGGAGCTGCTCACAAGCAGGCTCGTGAGGCTATGCACAAGGTGGGAGAGTCTGCATGGCCGGGACAGCCCGGCCACAGCGTAGTCCTGTCCTGGCTCTGTGCTGCAGCCTCTGTACCAACAGAGCCGTGCTACCCCTCACATGCTGCAACCTCAGCAAGGGAAGCATATTGGAACCGATGGCAAAATTGGGTGCAATTCAAGATCTGGATTTTGATCTGGGGCCAGGGTACTTGACCTCAGAGCATGCTGCTTTGTACACTGGGCACCTTTAGAACACTGTGCTCTAGCAAGTGGATGATTTTGATGAGTAGCAACCTTCCCAAGCTTGCTTGTTAATCATGTATTGAAATTATTAATGGGAAATTTAAAGTAGCTGCTGAAGCATGCCTTCTGCTTCTACTGAGCAGAGGTAGATAACATGGAGTTCTCAAGCCAAGGTTAGATTTTACCATCCTATGCTTTTTCTTTTACCTTTTGGTTGCAATGCTCGCTGTTGGCCAGACAGTCAGCTTACAGGATTACAGTCTGGTTAATCATGATAAATCAATATGCCAATCACACAGATATTCAAATCTCACAGAATCTGTTGTTTTTAGAAGACTTGTAGTGTTCCTGTTAGAAAGGTACTAACAAAACCTACTAGCAAGGTATCTTTTTGAGAGGCATATTGTCCCCATAGAGCAAGACAGCTGTCAAAGCTTGTGGCAGCCCAGAACTGTTGCCCTGATTTCACAGACTTGTCCACTAGACTACAGGAAATCCATGAGCTGTTGTTGGGATCTCAGATGCTGTGTGCATGGCTAGCACTGTGGCAGCAAACAGCCAAGGACAGCTCTTGTGCTTTCCTGCACCAGGGCTCCAGTGCCAGCAGCTGCTTGGATGGGGCACACTGGTCACAACAGCCTGCATGCTCCCTAGTGAAATGAAGGGATTCTCCTCCCAGGATGTCATGTGCATTTCCTCTGTGGATGTCTGAGGCTGACTGAATACTGAACGTGGATATTAAGTTAACTTGCACTGTAAATAGATTGTGTATACAGAGCTGATGAGCTCTTCTAGCTGAGGTATAATCCTCTCTTGACGTATCTTGACTTCACTGAAGGAAGTCTTGCATTTCGATTTCCGTAATGCCTGCCCTGACACTACAAAGGAAGCCTTTTATTATATTGCAACCACAACGTGGTAAAATACTACTTCTGATATATTTACCAAACCTGATCTCCTGTATAATAGATCTCAGTGAAAGAATGCATTGACACTTCCACATCATTCTGTGGGAAGGAGTCTTGTTCCTTCTATGCAGAGCTCCTCAGAAGGGGCCATTTCACATCCATGTGTCCAGGCCTTGCTTAATGCCTGAGACAGAGACCCTCTCCCTTTGTGCCCCCAGGCAGGAGGCTGCTGATCAGATCGGTGTGACCAGGACTGAGTGCTGGGGCAGCAGGACCTGTCAGACACCCCCACGGGGACAAGCCAGCGAATGCTGCTCAGACTGAGCTTGCTGGGCCTCCTTTTACAGAATCACAAAATTTCTAGGTTGGAAGAGACCTCAAGATCATCGAGTCCAACCTCTGACCTAACACTAACAGTCCCCACTAAACCATATCCCTAAGCTCTACATCTAAACGTCTTTTAAAGACCTCCAGGGATGGTGACTCCACCACTTCCCTGGGCAGCCTGTTCCAGTGCCTCACAACCCTTTCAGTAAAGAAGTTCTTCCTAACATCCAGCCTAAACCTCCCCTGGCGCAACTTTAGCCCATAAAGTTTAGCCCATTTTAGTACCCAAAGGGTTGTTGGTTTTCCTTGCCAAGGCATTAGAAAGCTGGGATGGGACTTGCAGATGTGGCTTGAAAAGGAGGCAGAAAGTGAGGCTGTTCCCCCTGCTGTGTTGGAATCTAGGAGGAGTTTAAGGATCAGGGGATTCGTTTAGAGCGTCTGAGACAGTCTGTGCAAGGCTTCTGTGCTCCCCATCCTCTGTGAGGAGGATTTGGGAGAGGCAGAGCCCCTCAGCACCTGCAGAGCTCAGGACAGGGCAGCACCGAGGTGTTGTGGTTCTGGCTGCAGTGAGCCTGCCCTTACCCCTGGGGACCCTCCCATCTCTCTCGAAATTGAGAACAAGCCACTTCTTAATAAGATAAGCCGCGGAGGCTTACCGTCAAAAGGCAAGGTCAGTGCTGTATTCGCCTGCTCCCCTCAACCTGCCACCGCCAAGCCCTAACCACCCCCATCTGTGGGACGGCACCGGGGGGCTTCCGAGCCGCCCCCCCTGCCCCCGGCCGGCTCTTACCGCGGGGCACGTCCACCTGGTGCCCCCTGCCCACGCTCTGCCAGTAGCTGAGCAGCCGCTCCTGCTCCTCGTCCTCCATCCGCTCGGCCGCCTCCTCCTCCAGGCTGCTGCCGTGGCTGTGGTACGCCGAGTCGGGGCTCTCCTCCGCCATGCCGTCCAGCTCCTCCAGCGTGATCACGGCCGGGCCGCCCGGCTCCGCGCCGCTCATCCGGCACCCGCCCGTCTCCATCGTGCCGAACCGGGCCAAACTGGGCTGTGCTGGGCCGAACCGGGCTGAGGAGCCGAGCCGAGCCGGGCTGCGGGTGCTGTTGGCGGCGAGGCGCTTTATGAGGGCTGAGCTGTGCGGGGCGGGGCGGGGGCGGGCCCCAGGTGTGTGTGGGGACACACTCGGTCCCTGAGCGGTGGCTTTCTTCTAATTCTTCTTCTTTTTTTTTACTCCCTGCTGCTCTTCATCTCCTGTCAGTCCTTCCTTGTGACAGTATCTCGTAAGCCATGCCCCAAGGCAGAGCTTTCACGTTGTTCAGGACCGGCTGCAAGGTGTCTTGGAGCAGATCCCCTGGGTCGTTTCGTTCTGGAGGGTGGCAGCTGTGTAATTCTGGCATTGCTGAGGAAAGCCTGTGGGAGAAGGGTTTGTGAGCAGCCCTGTCTGTGGAAGGCTGTTGTGGGGCAGGATCTGACTGAATCTGGGGTGTCCCCAGAGCATGCGGCTCTGTTTCTAGCTGTCTTTATGAGAAATAAAGAGTGCTGGTCCATTTTTCACAAGGCAGCAGAGGAAAGCCTGCAGGATTCAGAATTTTCAGTAGGAAAATAGATTGCACCTATACACGGCTGAGATGCCTGCAGGAGGAGGAGAACAAGGATTAGGGATGTAAGTGCTGACTCTGTGATGCGGCACCTAATTCCCCCCCCACAAACCACCATGTCTGATCAGTGTCTCCCAGGCTCACTTTTCTAATCCCAAGGGCTCGTTGTGGTGTGCCAACAAAGTATTAATTGCCTTAGGTTAAGTAAAGGGGAATGCATTGGTTGCAGTAAATGAGGCAGCTGGTTCCACCGTGAGGTTGTTTGGCCTCTTGTTTGTAGGCAGCATGTTGGCATCACACACTGCTTGCTGGTCTTAAATTCACCTACGTCCTTGACAAATGCTTGGAGATGATGCCTGCTTAAGTATTTTGATTGATGATTTGATTTCGTGGTCAACTACCTAGTACGCAGAAGTGCAAGCCTTGTCAAGAGCATGCTGAAGTGGCCTGCATTTTATGGCAGCTATCAGAAATTCCCTCACAAAGGTGCTGCTGAACTGCCTTCATGGGGCAGCTACATGGCTGTGGGTAGGCACCGTGAAAAAAGTCATGGTATGAAATGGTCACATCACAGGTGATGTTTCAGATGAGGCTTAAGTACAGTGCAAACACTAACTGCAGTTGTTTGGGCAAAGAACTTGCCACATAATTTGGGAAGTTGGATTGCTACTGCTAAGTGACGGCATCCTGGCTCTTGGTGATTTCTTCTGGGTAACGTTATTCTTAAGAACTGACTTTTGGAGTCAGTGCATAGAGACCTCCTCTGCCTATCCTGCAGTGCAGAAATGGTTCTGACACTTTTTAACAGAATTAACGATTGCAACGATTTAACAATTCCAACTCTTTTGGTCAAGTATTATTTAGAGAATAAATAACTGCTGTAAGGAAGAGGCTGGTAGGAGTTTAAGATCCTGTTTTAAAGATCACCCATCACATGTAACTGCTTGTGGTTTTTGTTTTGAGATATGCGTAGTAATTATGTAAGAAGTGCTGCCTTTGACAAAGCACTGAAAATGTATGATGCTCTGTGTCTGGACACTGCTAGAGCACTTGACTATTCCTGGAGTTGAACAAGGCTGATTTTTTTGTATTTGTTTTTTTCCCTCAACTTGTTAAGTTTGTGTGTAACTGCTGGCTAATAAGCAGTCACTCGTGGCAGAATATGATTTAGTTTGTGCTGTGTTCTTGGTGCTTTCCTGGCAGGTTGTATCTCTGAATAGAAAAAAGAAACAAATATTCAGCCTTGCAAATTGAGGATACAAAGCATCTGTAGTCAGATGCTTCATTCTGTCATGTGGCGCAATGACGACATTGACTCTTACTGAACTGCAGATTTGTATAGAAATGCCATTTCTTTTTATAAATTCTCAAGTAACAGGAAAAATGTTCTCAGTGAAATGAATTGACAAGTAAAGTCTGTAGGCCTTTTTTGTAACTTAAGAAGTGAGAAATGCTGTCATAGAATAACAAGACATTAAAAGACAACAAAATATTGTATCTTTTTTGTGAATAATACCAGCTTCCAAGGAAAAATAGTATATGTTAGATGTGTAACATAGTCCTGGAGAACGGCAAGACCACAAAGTGTTTGAATGGATCAATATTAAATTGACAAGGAAATTTCCAGGGGAGCCAAGATGATTACTGTGTTGATCAGTATTATTTTTAGAGACTTAAATGATTCTCTTAAAAACACTGTACCCCTCTGTGTCATCGCGGTTGTATTTTCATTATTGGGAAGATAAGAATATGTCAGTGCAAAGCTTACACAAAATAGTGCTTTTCTCCCTTGCATTTAGAGCTCATTTGTCTGTAATTGCAACTCTGAAGCTGTACAGAGATAATAACCCAAATTGAGCACTCGTAGTAGCTCCTGATGCCTTTCTCACCCGTGTTCTCTGTCATAAATCCACTTGTTTTTTTGTGTGTGTGCTAGTCATTGTCCTCTATCTTCTTTCCTTGCATGCTCTGTACTGTTTTGAGAGGTTTCATCGAATGTTACAATGACCTGTTCTCACTCTGTAAATAGAGCTTACGTACTCTGTGTACCTAAAGTTTCTTTACAGTCAGCAGAAAGGGTCCATGTGAGCCGCCCTGGTGCTTCGGGAGATGCTGCTGCAGCTGCGGGACTGCACCTGGCCTCTGCAGGGCTCTGGGGCCTTTCTGCTCTGGTGGAGCCCCAGGACTCTTTCACTCAAACATGAGGTACAGCAGGCAGATCGAACACAGCTCATTCCTGGGCCTTCCTCCTGGAAGGTATTTTGGGGGAATGTTAGGGTACCATTCTTACACTTCCTGAGGTAACACACAATGTTGAACCACAGCCCTTTTTAGTTTCATTCCTAAACTGAAGCAATGAATGTTCTAGATCTTCAGCTAATGTTCACTAAGGCTGCTCTTTCCTAAAGTTGCAGAAGGCCCTTTTTGCCTTCATGCCTTCCTGCCAAGTCATTTTGTTCTCCTCCAAGACAGTACAATCACAACACTTTTCTGAAGCATTTCTTGAAGCTGGTTTCCAGCTACAGACTGTAAGGACAAGTCTTGTCTTTTCCTTCTTCCTTTCTTCACTCTCTGTATTGAAAAATCGTTAATCCGGAGCAGAGAGTGGGAACAATATGACGTCCATGTGGTGCACAGCAACAACAAAAGCCTGGATTTGTGTTCTGGAGCTGCTCCTGGTTTCAGTGGTTGTGTGTTAAATGAAACCAGCGTGTTGGTGTGGGCCATGCTAACGGCTCCGCACAGCCGTAGGCGTGATGTTAACTCCATCACACAATGCAGTCTCGTGTCCTTGTACATCAATTCAGCGTTTGCCACAGCATGTTTGGAACTGGTGTGTGGCATATTGGGTATGGAATGTGCTGGAGCTGGGCGAGGTGGGAAAGCAGGGGAAGGAGAGGAAGCAAAAAGGCATCTCAGGTACAACGCGACTGTATAAAACTGGTGAGGTTTCTCTGTCGAGGCCTGGAGAGCTGTGGAGAACTTTGTGGCAGTCGGAGATGCCTGCAGATGTGAGGGAATAAGTACAAGTAGACCTTTTCGATCTGTTCTGTGAAGACGTAGATTGCTTAGTCTGGTTTCTCTCAAGTCACCCATTCTCTTCTTTGTAAGAAACGCAATACAAATGTTATTTATGCACAGGCGATGAAATTCATTTTTTCCTGTGTGGCAAAGAATGTTTGCAAATCTGCAGTGAAATAGTGAGGCAAGATTGTTTGCTAAGAGTCTTTGTTTTTTATTGTGCAAGGAGAAAAGAAATTAATAGCAGTTTTTAGCGAGATGTCACTGAAACAGTGAACAGCTCTTTGCCTTCTCTGTTCAGTTTACAGTGCACGGTGTGGTCCCCAGTGCATGCTGTAGCCCCAAACTGGAGGTCTTATGCCAACTTCAGGTATAAGATTCAGAAAGCAGTGTGATTTGCTGGGGTAGGTAACCTGTTCAGCAAAAACCTTTATCTTCTTGGCAAGTTTAGTGGGACAGCTTTACCAGCTGTCTTTAATAGATTGGTAGTAAATCTGCCAGCTCTTTAAACTGCATTTAGCAAGCTAGAAGAAGTCATTAGTCCTAGTAAAAAATGATTTAAATGAATCCTACAGTTGTGTTTTTAAACAGGTAATGTAACGTGAATGTTTTGGAAAGGTTGAGGAGACTTCCCAGGAGTATTTTCTTTTTAATTAAAAGTATTTTCTTTTTAATTAAAATAAAGGTATGGAGACAAGATAAATGTAATCACTCTGAGTAGTGCTTGTTTCTGTATCCCTTCTAAGTAGGTTATGTTTACTGTTCCCTATTAGTTTTCAAGCTCCAGGTGACTGGATCCTGCTGTCTTTCATAATAGTCTTCCTTGGTTTGTTTTGCAGAAGATGATTAAATCAGACAGGGGTGTACACCGAGCAAACAGTGACAATATAATTTTCTTACATGTTATAAACTAGGTCAAGAGATGAAACACAAAAATACAAGTTATGGAAATTAAAAAAAAAAAAAAGTTACGCAACAAAAGTAGGGAGTAATGAACCAGTGCTGAGATACTACACTTACGTGGGCTTTACTTTTTAATGAAAGCATTAATTTTGTTTTATAAAGAAACATTTTTTGTTCAGAGACTGACCCCATTTCCACTATTTGAGACATAGTTTAGGCTTGATCTTAAGCTCCTCAAGTGTCCTCATCACTGAACTGTGTAGGATTTGATGGGAGGGAAAAGTTCTGTTTCAGTGGTATCCCGTTAAAATAAAAACCACAGTTATCCCTTGCTGGGTAAACATTTTTTGGTTTAAGTACATTTTCTTATGAGCTGGCACAGGCATTTCTGCCTTTCACCTTGTAAAGTGGCTCATCAAATACAGGCCAAATTTAAAAACAGTAACAACAATCTGATAATAGACAAGGTTTTGAATTTTAAACTCTTAAGACTAAATCAAGTCAGAGAAGATAGTTTCTTGTGTGTTTGGATTTGGGTTGATGTATGGTTTTGAGCATATTTAAAGAAAAAACGGTTGATTTTTTTCCTTTCCTCCAGAAATTCTTGACAACATTGTAGTTTTACAGTTGGTCTTAGCTTGTCAGTTCAATACAGAAATCTTTTAGAGATGGATATGGTGGGTGTAACCCATGAACCAGCCCAGAAAGGATGAGCAGAATCTCTCATCTGGGTGTCATATGGAAGTCAAGAAACCCTGGGGAAAAATAAGCAGTAAGATGTCTCTTTTCCCCATACTGTTTTCTTTTTCACACTATGGGTCCCTGCAGACGTGTCTGCAGTAGTGGTTTAGTTGGTCAAATTATCCTCTGATGTTAATTAGAAGGCACGCTCTGGGGCAGAATCTCCTGACTGTCCTTCTCGGAGACACCATGAAGCAGGCAGCGCGCAGCCAAAGCTGGCCTGGAGGTGAAGTCAGCCCAGAGGCAGGCTATGGCAGCGCCACAGGAGGCCACACCAAGCCTCCAGAAGCACCCCTCGGCACCCCTCAGCACTCCTTGGCACCCCTCAGC